TCCAGCGTTGCTTGTGCTTCTGAAAGAAAATCTATTCTAAAATTATATGTGCTTGCAGATTATTTACTATAAAAAATATCACCTTTACTTGTTCGTCCTTGATACGGACATATAGCGGTACTTTACCTATACACTTACATAGTTCTCCTTGCGCCGCTAACACTGTCGTATTATCCGAATTATATATGCGGTATGTCCGAAAATACTTCCTAAAAAATTCTTCTGCCACACAGGAACACTGCGCGCCTGTATCCAGGAGTGCGCTGGCTGGGATATTATTCACCAACACTTCAATCTTCGGAAGAGTCAAATTTCTCACCATTACCGTATTTAACTTGAAGGAAGAGGGGTTTTCTTGGCCTTCGGATTTCCGCACCCTCCCGTCAGCAGAAATCCGTTTTAGTTTAAATTATTTTTCATTTCGCGTTTCCTTCTTTTTCCCTTGGCCTTGAGACTTTTTTCCTGGATTGCTATTGAATTGTCGACGTTCGCCGGCTGTTTTTGAATGCTCGGGTTTCCTTGCCCACTGATTCGCTTTGCTTCCGTAGCCGTGTGCTTGAGTTTGCTGTAGTCTTGGCGCACCAAATTGGTTTCGCTGTTGATATTGGCGTCTTCTTTCAACGTCCGCCGTTTCTTCTACTTTCAAAACTGGATTGCTAGCTCAAAATAACTTTTCCAGTATAGTCGGATTTCTTAATTCAATAAATCTTGCAACTTGGGGCAGTAACCTCGGCCAAAATCACTTGAATTATCTCAGGATCCGGACGGTTTCCATACAAGAGTTTGAAGACGTGAATTTTTCTTAAAATAAAGCTTGAGAGATTTTCGATTCTTTGTGATATATGCTGAAAAGTTCCGTTTCTAATTTCGCACGATCCCTTACGACCGGGAAGGCTTTTAGTAGGGCAGTCTTGAAATTCTCGTACTTACGAGAATTTCAAGACTTATAGGTGGGACTTCCTGCTTGACCCATGAGACTTCTGCCTATACATTTGAACCAGTTAAGCGCTTGGCCCCTCAAAGCGCTGGTAGCTAAGGTGACTTTTTGGAACTCATGGCACTGGATAGAGCATGAAGTGGGTCATCCAATTTTTCCAAAAAACTGGTCACCGGTGAGTTTCCTTTTAAATGTTGCTTCTGGTTTCATCGAAGCGCGCATGGTCTGGACGATGTAACCAAATACTTCCAGGGCGGCAGCTGGCATTTCTGGATTCTGAGCCGCTTCTGCAGGCACCTCAGGTTCTTCTTGAAACTCGGCCATGGTTATTCTTCTTCTTCGGGCGCCACTATCAGGGCTTCAATGTTCTCTCTGACCTTGCGTTCGGAAACATGCAATGGTCCTGAATCGGAACAGGAGCGCTTACTCAAGCTATGTTCAACAATTGTGGGAAGTAGACAGGATACACAAGAAGGGTATACAAAACCCTTTATTTTTCTCTATTTACAATAACTTCCGTACTTCGAAATACACAGACCCGCTACTTGGGGTCTAACGTAAAAATATAAAAAATAGAACTAAAAAACTCTAATTTAACTTTAAAATAATAAACGTGGAAGATTGGCCTTATATTAACAGGAAGCCGTATGTAGTACAGAGAACTGTGAACACTACAATACGTTTAAAAATTATCAAGAGGATTAAAACCTCTAGCCTGGAGGCAACCAGCAACTGAGTAAACTTCTAAGGTAAGCGCCTGCTTCGACTAACTGCTTCCTCTCTCTCGCTTGGCAAAAAGCCACAAAACTTAAATACTTGGCGTTCGACAGACAAACTTTGCATAAAAACATTAACGCTTATAATTCTGGCCGGAAGTAGAAAATAAGAAGTGATAGTAAAGATTTAAAATAAAATAAAACGTTAGTAAAACTTAAGATCCTTACAAGATCTTTGTTGACATTTACAATTTAGCAAATTCCTCGTATTAAAAGCTTTTGAATAACATATACAATGTTTTTGTATATAATATTATACAAATACATCGTTACGCATGACATAGTAAATTTTTGAGAGTAATGTGCTGATAAATTTCGAAAATAATTTCGTTTTCAATTCAGATTCCATAAAAATGTGAATTTCCTGCTTGCATGAGCGATTTCTCTGAACTACCGATTAAAATTTCAAGAAATTTTGAAGAATCGCGTAAAATTTATATCTGCATAATTTTGAAAATCGATAATATATAACTTCTGTTATATCAGAGGTTTATCCCCAGTTTTCTTTGGTACTGACATAATTTTTTTAACTGTGTGTAGTTTCTTTCTATCTCATATTTGTAAACAACTATGTGCAGTTTCTTTATATTTGATTTTTTAAACAGTTACATATATATTATAAGCAACTTTTATTACGTATACAAAAAGTAAACACAATTATTAAACTAAATAAATTTAATACGAGTATAATACGGGGAGATATTATCCAGTCATGTAAAGAAAAATAGGTCTTGACAGCGTATTGGCCTGACCGTAACATGTCCGGACGGCGAAACGACTACTGTGAAATGGAGACTTCGTAAAGTCCTAGACCCGAAACTAACTGTTATTTGCATCTGTATATCGACGATGAAGGAGATCCTCTGAGGATACTGTGTTTGGCCAGCAGGAATGTAGCTGATTTCCCTTTTTCAAAGATCAGGTCAAATTTGGAACCACTTAAATTAGCCCATTAATACGACGAAATATTTTGATTTCTGCAGTCGCTTTAAAATATAAATATAACAAATATCTCAGCTAAATAATTTTGAAGCTTTAAAGCAGGTTGATAGAGAACAAACAGATCAACAAAAGTAAAATTTACCCTTGTTTGCATAATCACAAGCTGAGCGATAATAAGCTTCTAACATGAAAATATCATTTAAAAGATATACCTTTAAAAGTTTCAATATTTACTTTGCCATCTTTATCCCTTCAAATCTTTTTAATACTTTCCGGGAAATGTTCTAAAACTGCTTACTTGATATGTAACGAAAATCGCCATGACGGATAAATAATTTTCAATGATTGTTTTTTACTGTGACTGCTGATGGTTGTTTGGCACATTGTTTCGTACTGGCGTTGGCAACACGACGAAGTGTGAACCATCTGCCAAGAAACAAACCATTTTCCTTGCTGTTCTTTCCGCCATTTGACGAATATTACCTGGCTAAGCTTCAAGCCAGAAGTTTTGGCTGAATCCTTTAATCACTTAACCGACTCATGCCCGCGAATGCTGTTGTCCAGATTTGTCACATGGGACATCCTATAGTGAAATTTTATACATAGAAAAACGCATATATATATATCTTGGTTTCGGAATTAAACTATCTTCGTTTCTAGAAGGAATTCGTCATAAACATTAAAATATCTTTACTTTTTTTACGAAGTAAAGAAATACTGATATCGCGAAAAAAATAGGATATCATATTTCAATGAAATTATTCACTTTGTCCGCTTTCGAATCCACCTGAACGATGCTTTTGCTTGACATCAGTACTTTCAGAATAAAGGATTCTTTTTCCCAAAATGGGTTGTAAAATGGATTTAAAATGGATTCAGAAGAGATTTTGTTTCATGACGGCTGAACGTACGTACAGCTATTTAACTATACTTATTTTAAAAAATCTGATGTGTACACCACATGACTTTCTTGTATTGGAATATTAAATTATACGCATTTTTTCTTGCATTTCATTTAAACTTATTGGATTGAATTAAATCTACTTCGCCGACAGCGCATAAACCAATAGAATAAATGCATTCTTTTTAAAATTCACTTAGTATTTGTTACCATAGCGACATTCTGGCGCAGATTCACTTAACAGTAATAATTATATAACGTTAAACTTATTATAATAAGATAACGGAAACTAAGTTAACTGTTATATAATCCATAATATATACAGTTAACGTATATATTTCGTTCATATTATAACCATAATGCACAAAATTATACATTTACAGAATAGAATTATCTAATCGTTGCCACATGTTATATTTCAAATACTATAATAAAGCTACATGGTGTATAAAAGAAATTTAGCAAACAAAACAAAAAAGAAGCAGTTTTCACAGACGATTGAGCATTTCTCATTTAATTAATTCAGAGTTCTCACTTCGCGATAAGGCAAAAATACGTAAAAAACTCAAAAAATATCTATATTAAAAATTACGAAGTAAATTTCAAACACTTATTTACTCGAAAAAAATTCCAGAAAGAATTAAGCATGATTAATTGGCAATAATAAATGAATGCGTTATCTTTGTTGTTGCGAAGTAAGTTTCTCTAGATTGGCGACAAATCCACTAGTCTCCTGTTTCAAATGTAAACATCAATGCCCGCCATAAAAACAGGCTTAGCGGCAATTAAACAACATTAAAATTGCTGATATTCTAAAACTTTGCACACAGATTTACTAAAGGCATAAAATCTAACCGGAAGATACAAACAACATAATTTAATCATTTTTAAAGCAAAAATGTACAATTTACAAACATATAAGAGTAAGAAACTGAGATCACTGGGCAGGGTAACAGAGTGGATATATATATAAATATATTTATATGCGTTTGTTGCGGCCGATTGCAACCAAAATACGAGGTGCAAATCTGCATGTTATAGCAGTCCTATATACAAAATTTCGACGTTCTGCGGCTACTCGTTTTTGAGTTATGCTAGATACGTACGTACGCACGTACAGACGCCACGAAAAATTCTCTTCAAAATTCATTTTAAAGCAGTTTTATAATTTTTTTGGAGCAAAAGAGTATTTTATTCTGTCCTTACGTACAGATATCACGCAAAACCATCGTTAAATTGCATTCGATAGCGGTCAAATTGGATATTTTCGTTGAAATATGGTGCCGGAAACTTTTCGTGATTACAATACTTCCTTTTTACTTCGTACAAGGAAGTAAAAAAGTAAAAGAACCTTTCCAGTTTTATGAATTTGATTTAGATTCAGAATGATATATAATAATAAAGATATAAATCAATGTGTGTAATTATTTCTTTCCTCTAAAAGCGAGTAGGCGATCATCAGCGGGTAGAAAGAGGTGAAGACATCGAACTTCGACTTAGTGGCAGACGTGTCGATGGATCCATAGCAAGAGGCCTGTACAGCGAGGAGTTCCACGGAAGTTTTGATGGCAAAAACCGGATGACACGTGACATGTTTCAGACTTCTAAAGACAAAGAAGAAGAGGAAGACCGTATTCACCGAACTCCTGTAGAAAAGCGAGATAGATCAGAAGTTTTTCAGACGAGGGATGAAAGACCTCATCGTTCATTTTTCAAATCTTCGGAATCTCAACCTAAAGAAAAAAGAAGAGTCACATCAGCACTTTACAGAAATAGAGCGTTTGAAGAAGAATAATTGTTCTAGAACTAAAATGTTTTAACACAGTTCTGATCACTCTAGACTATTAACTTCTAACAATATTGTAAATTACTTTCAGTAAAATATTCAGGGAAATATAAATAACACAAAAGATCTTGTTTTTTTTGAAGAATACATTTAACATTTCATAATACTTTTCTTTCAAATACCTACAACCAATTAAAAATATTTGTAAATTCATTAAATTTTAAAGGCACGTATTGTTAAAAATGAAAACGGCAGTGTGAGAGCACAAGTTAATGAGAGTTACGAAACTTTAAATTCGTACCGTTGAAACTTTAGAGTTCTTTTCATTGTTTCACTGTGTTTTTATGTAGAGTATTTGGATTTATATTAATAAATGCTATCAAGTTTTTTATTTTAATGCGTATATTGTGTACATCATCTAGCTTATAACCATTTTAAAAACTGTATATATATATATGTATAACAATAAATATTATCCTTTTCTCAGTTGACTTCAAAAAAAATTTCGTTGATAACTGTCGCTTAACAGAACACCTTAACTAGAAATTTAAAAATTTAATAAAATTTATTATCTCACGTCTTTTCTTAATATCGTTATGAAAGTAATTCATAACCAGTTGAAATAAATTACAATCCACTCTATGTTAAGCAAGTATGAAGGAAATATAAATCGTAGTTAATTTAAATTAAATATGCTTCCTAGAAAAAATTAAAAAGACACAAGGGATTGGAATAAAACGTACTGCAGAAAACATTGAATACAATAAACAATCTCTCACAGAATTTTCAAGCAATTTATTTTGGTTGAAAATAAAGGTAGGAAATACATGTAAACAAATTTAGTTCGTTACATAAATTAAATCATTATTTAGGTTGCGTAAATTAAATCACTAAAAGAGAAGATTATATTTCAAAACAGAAAATAATGATGTTTTACAGTTTTCGTATATGTGCATTCTTATAGACTAAACATAAAATTTCAAAAATTAGGCTTGAATATTTTTTACGACTGAGCAATAGACTTTTAATGAATGATTAGCAATTAAACTTCAAATGCTCATAATGATATGAAACTAAATTACGTGCTATTGCTGGTAAGAGAAACTCCCATATATCATAATATCGACTGCTATATTTTTGGTTAGCCCACTCACACTATCCATTCTTTTTGTATTCTTTTTTCAGGAGGCAGTTTCATTTTAGAATGGTTTATGATAATAGTTTTAACTTTTTCCTCATTTCGCAATAAACAAGCACAGTAACTTTTAGACGGGTTCCGAAAGGTCCACATTACCGTTAATCTGTTCTCAGAGAAATTAAATTTCGTGCTACGGATAAACGGATATTGACTGTATTATTATTTTCCTATTTATAAAAATATGTATGATTGATTTGTTAATTACTGCTTCCTGCGCTGTAAATAGAGGATCTTAATTAACGTGTCATGTCCTGTCAGAGCTTTCAGAAGCCTTTTTATGTTTTCTTTCTCCTCTTATCTATAGCACGAAATTTAATTTCTCTGAGTAACAAATCACGAATGAAAGGTTTAGCGGAGTTAATTGAGACTACCCAAGATTCTAGAAAAAACCAATTTCCCTTTTCCTTAAACAAAAATGCATATTTCTCAAAATTGCTTTTAAAAATTTTTGGATAAAAAAAAAAAAAAAAAAAAAAATTGTGCATTTGTACTCAAAAGATATTACAATATTTTTTCAAGTCTGATGGCACTTATCCTTCTCCGATTTAAACACTACTGAGAAAGGTGTGAACCATAAAATAGATATCGTGTTAAATTCAAAAATGTTTTTTAATTACTGATTCAAATTAATATATAAAATTTTCAAAATTACAAATATTATAGTTTTTCCAAATCTAATTTTATTAACTGGAATTAACTTTCAATCCACCGCCCAATCGGGATATTGATTAGTGACGCCGACTGCCGTATCCAAGGTTACGGAGAAGGAATGAATGTTTGTAAATGTATAGTGTCTGTGTGGCATATGAACACTCTTAAAGATGTTGCTAGCCGAAAGTCCTCCCGAGAGGATGTGGTTGGGGAAGAGAGGTGAAAGACATTTGAACTCACTCTCCGAGGTTCTCTCCCTGAAAACTGGGGTTGGAATTGGGCAAAATCGTACTATACCCAAAGCTTTTGTCAAGGTAGTAAGGCGTAATCTTGTAGTCCTTGCCACGATAAAGTTTATGGACCTGATCTGATGTTACTGCCTATCAGGTGGGATAAGCCACAACAATAATAACAACAAATTTTAACTCATTTCAATTCTTTAATAATTAAAAAAATCTAGTCAAGGCCGACCAGTCAGTATAGTGGCCAGGGAAGATGACTGCGATGCCGAAGGGCCTGGGTTCGAATTCCGGAGAAGGCATGGTTATAACTATCCGTCTCTTCATAGGAAAGGCGATGGTGGCCCACCTATTAGGTGCCCCCATAATAAAGAGTCTACCACATCCGGCCTTGTATAGATTAATGGACTGGGTTACGTTTGTAATTGTTCACAAGCTGCCATTGGGGGGGGGCAAATCTAGTCAATTATTAAATAAAATAACTGTTAGATATATTTCAGGGTTGTAGTCATTAATTTTATTTTTTCAGAATGGAAATTATTTTCTATGTTGGGTGATTGAAATCAAGGAAGAAGCAATTACTTCACAGATTTAACCCTTTCGTGGGCCATTTATTTCTCTTTTGAATTTCTCCCGTTTTTTTATGTTTTATTATAAATTAAACAATAGCATTTAAGGAAATATATTTTATTTTGCCAAATTTTTTGTTTACATTTAAATTCTAGGGGTGGGAAGTATACTTCCCAGGGACCTTTATGGTCAGAGAAAGTTCAATTTAAAGCCGGTTATTTGCCGTGAAAAGATTGAGAAACATGTTGCGATGCACAAGGCTACTTTAGATACTGCACACATATAGCAGGGCCCTCTTTTCTTGGGCCTTTGTGCTACATTTCTTACATCGTCTATAATTGGAAACCATCTTTGGTATATGATTACCCACACTGACTAAGCGTAGTTTATACGGAACTGCACACCTTTTTGCTTGGAATCTAGCAGGACGGCCTTTCTGTTTTCGAAAAAATATCCGTCTATTAGTTGACGAGCTAATGCTATACGGAATGTAGCTAGTCTAAATTTTGTTTCTCTTGTTTCCTTGCCACAGTATAAACTATTTACGATGCCAAGACCAATAAAGAAATAAAAAATACGATGCCACCATTCTACAGATCTTCTTCCTATTTGGTATCTTTCATTTCTTTGATCGAAGCAATCAACCCTTCCCACGATATCGTTATATACGGCAACAGCTTTACGGCAAGGTATTTCAGTTTTAGTACCATCCTTTTTTGTATGATTTACAGATGTAATAATTGCTGAATTGTGTGCAGTAGTCAACAATATAACAGCCTTTTTGTCCATCCACTTTATTGCAGCAACACCTTCCTTAGCTAGGAACACTGATTTCTCCTCTTAGTAGTTTGTTATTAGCCTTCAGTATCGGTGAAAGATCCTTCCTTTGCAGCCTAATAGTCCCCTACAGAAAACAGACCACTTATAAGTAGACTTTTTTGCAAGACTAAAGATGTCAAATAGTTATCATATAAGACAGGCTATAAGATGACCTGTCTGTTTCACATCTTCCGTTAGTTTAGTTATTACTGTTTACCCTAGTTCAATATTTTATCCTTATTATCAGAAGTTTTTTCCACAATAAATTTAAAATTTTGAATATATCCAGTCTTAGAGTCTGTTAAACACACACCTTGTAACCTCTTTTTTATAGCTTCATTGGCATATACTGCTTCAATGAAGTTCTCCCTTTGAAAGCTATCATACGTTCATATATTCACAATGTTTACGAAAGTATGGAATCATCGAGCTGTGAGAGGATGCCTGACTTTAGGAGTTTATCATACGCAAATTGCCCATATGGATTTGGTGCTGTTTTCGTTTACATGCAAAGTCTCAGTTATTTTTTGAACATCTTTGTGAATATTATTCTTGCTACTAATTGAACATTGAAAATGGGGTCTGTGCTCCAGCAGTTTTTCAGTTAGGCAATTGATGCAACCCTTGAGTATATGCATACCTGCCCATGCTTTCAATTCTTCTGATGTGATTTCTTTCCGGTTAAGGATAATGTCTTTTGTCGTATGACCCAATCTCTTCCCTTTCTTAGGCTGCTTTGCATATGAGTTTGTTTCGTCAACAATATTCTGTAAAATTTCCTCAGTAAAAATCATGCCAAATAATCCTTTTTTTTCTCAGTAGAATTGAATGAATTGAATGATGTATTTTCAAAAATATTCCAATTTTTCCAACATACCTATTGCACGTAGCTTTTATACACGATGTAATAGCAATTTTCACTTTTCACCCTATTATTTATTATTCAATATTAGATAGTTGCTGCAGAAATATACAAAATAAGAGAACGTTATTATAATAAAAACAGTTTTTTTACTTACATTTATAGCAATGCAAATGTCAAATCAAAATAGGTGTCTCAGTGGAACAGATCTCGCACAACACGTTCGAACTTTAAAAACAAATGTGGCAATTCTGTTTTCAATCGATTGAACACAGATAGCAGCACAATACTGAAGTGGGAATTAGAGTTCCTAACGTTATAATAGCAAAGCCAATATATTATAGTGGGTTTTGCGCTTCCCACAGGTGTATTTCCCAGGAACTTGTAGGTGGGAAGTACCTCTCCACGGCCCACGAAAGGGTTTTAAAGAAATACAGTAATAACAAAAGCATTTACATATTGCATATTATTGTCTTTTTTTTACAAGAGCATTTTCTTGCACCATCAAAACATTCTATTGTTAAGAGCTTTATGTGTTTATATTGTTTACCAGTGGATATTTACTGTTCAAATTTGCGAATGAAGTAATTTTCAATCCAATTTTTGTTTTTCGAAAATGTTCTCCTTTAACGAGTAACTGTATACGTGTTTACATCAGTATGTAGTTTTTACATTTCTGAAAGGTGAGTTTAATGAAAAGGTTACATTACTGGGATCGCGTTTCCGAAGATCAGCGGTTGTTAGTTGTGGGGAAGGTTTTGACACTTAATATTGTCATAATTAAGATTGAAAATTCTGTGAGCATCTTTTAACGCTTATACATAGAAATCTGTTTCAAGATATTCCTTTCATTTTTCAAGTTTAATGTTTCATTATATACAGATAATTTATTATCAAAATGAAATTCTTCGTTTTAAAATCACATTATTAATATTATAACATCGAGGATCAATGTCCCTCTATTTCTGCCGAGATAAATTATATCGAAATAAGAAATAATAGAAGAAAATAAAATAAAGGAAATAGAGAAACAAATATAATTGGTAAAATAAGAAAGAAAAAGGAATTTTCAACAACTGAAACACTATTTGACTAAGAAGCAAAGCAAAATTTGGCCTAGTGAAAGGAAATCACATGCATTAAAACTTCGAGAAGTCTTTTACCGTGACGTCTCTCGTCATGTTTAGAAACTTTTAATTATAAATATTTTATTTACAAACATAATATCTGTTTAGGTAGATGATTGAAATGGATAGGTTTTACATTGGATGTCTAAGTTCCCAATAGTTTAAGTTTGTCTAATCTTTTGTATGTTTATTTTGTAGCGTATTCACTCGCTTCTGGTGAGATATGAAATTTTTAACTTTAAATATTCTATAAAATGAATTTTTTATCTCTAACTGCAATAAATGTAAACAAATACAGAAATAAACGAACTTTTAGCAGTCTGCTTAGGTATAAGTAGGGCATTTCCTCTACAAAAGTTAGCGTGACTATTTCTTCTAATTGCTTTTGCAAACATACTGGAGCACTGAGTAAGAACATGGAGTTTATTTTTAAATTATGTTCGTGCAAGTGTAGAAGATACGATTTAAGTGGGAAGGGTTTAATCACTCTTTATTCTTCACAGTTTTCAGCTGTTCTCGTACCTTGAGATGCAAAGACCAGGACTTATGGTCTGAAACGTAATATAAGAACTGCAAACTAACTAAATTAAATAGAAACTAAACTCAAATGCTTTACAAGGACTTGTAACGCAAAAATTGGCCTTTTAATTTTCACGTATGTAGTACGCAGAATGCGGGAAAACTACAATACGTCTCCAGTATCAAGAGGACTCAATTCTGACTTTAAAGGTCGGGCAGCAAATTACTGAACAGCGTTGCCTAAGATAAGGTAGCGAGAAGTCTCTCTCTAACTCCTTCTTGGCTAAAAGCCACAACTTAAAAATGTGCAAGCTCAATTTGTGTAATCAAAATTAACCTCGTTTATTCTGGCCGGAAGTGGAATGTAAGAGAGGACTGGAAAGTTTTAAAATAAAATAAACATTAGTAAAACTTACAATCGTTGCAAAGTGTTTAAAACGATTCTCAGTTCGACTTAAAAACATCACTGTATAGTTAAATCGAAAAACAAAATAAAATCACTGGACAAAATATTTTATCAAGAGCATGCATCCACATTGCACAGTTGAAAATCATTATGAGGTTGTATTCACTAACATTTTCTCGATTCTTCTCCCTGTTTTTGATGACCGTCGCCAAATGTTATCCTTCCAAAAGCCAGGAATTCACATACGAGGAGCTACTGATTTTATAATCAACTAATTTACAAGCAAATTACTTATTAAATTTACTCTAGCATTTAAATGCTATGAAGCTCTTGCTCTAGAGAGGCACTATTAAATTAATCTCTGAGTAGCCACGTTCATACTCCTTTGTTGCAAATGAAAAGCTATGGATTGCGTTAGAAACAGACATGGGAGATGATGGCGTTTTCCTTTCTGAAAGTTACTCTCAAACACACCTTAATATTTCTTTATCAAGAAATCCAAATTAATATCCAAGTTTATAACTTCTGTTTTACCAAGGGATAAAGGAGGATTACCTGACCAGTTTTGCAATACAGTGCCTTTCCTCATCGTGGAATTTTAGCATTTGCTCTTCTTAAGAGTTCGATCTTTTTCTGAGCTTTCAGAAATATTCTGGATAGGTACGGTTTTGCTATAAATATATAGGTCCATTTTCAAGTGAAACACTTTAAAAAACCGAACTGTTTTTTCTGCTTTTAAGGCTTCCAAGTAATATGGTCCAATATTTATCTTGCAAACAATTTAATTTGAAAGCATAGTTGTAATATCATGTGCTTGTGTAAAAAAAAATATCTAAAATGAAATCCATATTAGTGATATTCTGTAACACTCCATCATACATATATGTTTTAGTTTTGCATCTATCTCCATCTGCTTGAGTTATAAGTAGTTTATTTAAGAGTACAGCATTTATTGTGGAAGCAAAGAAGAGAGTTTTAAAACAAACAACTAATATTTGACCTAAAAGCTGTTGCGAATAGCATGAGCAGTATATTTCTCAGCAAATGTTCATAGCTGCAGCAAATGTTCGACTGTTAATGCCATTAGTAGTCGTAATTTGTTGCCAGATGTATAAATGCACAAGAAAAACACATAAATCTGTGTCACCTCTGTCGCGTACAAGGAATTAAAAAGTAATCATAATCAATTTGAAGATAGATAAAATATATGCTTGATTCCACAATAATTACTCCAATAGTATAAACATTGCTTCAAAGATTACGTTGAAACATTTGTTTTACGTTCTCACTCCACCAGAATAACAGCTAAATCATGTCAGCTTTGCTACAATACCCACGCAGAACAAACCGGAGATACGTCACAGAAGGAAATTTAAATTGTACCTTCTAGTAAAGTTTTAGTTATATGGCAAATTACAAGAGTTCTGCTTGTTAGTAAAGAGTGTAAAGAGTAATTCAAAGAAATATGCAGAAATCTTAAATAGCATTCGAATAAAAAAAGGGTTAAGACAAGGATTCATAGTCAGACGTGTGCAGTCTGGAGATCAATCGCGTAATAATGCGAAATTAAACTGATAGAATATATGCTTGAAAAACATAAAACATCCAAAAAATTAGTATAAGATAATAAAATCTAAAAGTAAAGGAAGATTCCTTAGCCAATCATAAAAATATTATACTCGCACTGGAGGAGACATTTCATCAACAAATCATTAAACGTTATGAATTATATGCAAATAGAAGTAAATGTTCATTAAGAACTGCAGTATTCATTTGCTAGCAATTGAAAATAAAATAAACGCATGAAGAACTCTATTACGTCTGAATGCAACTGCCAAAAGCATCATTATTAGAATTCATTGCAGTGTTAACAAGGTGACACAATGTGCAAGCTTTTAGATGCAGTTGGTGGGCAAAATAATTGTGCGGGAAAAGAATAAATTTCTCGTAATAAAAAGACAATTTAAAGCATTATTGAACGATGAAAATTGCAAGAAATAATTACATTGATATAAAGAGAATACAGCCTACACATAAAATAAAATAACAATAAAAATTTTTAAAAATAAAAAATTAAAATAAAATAAATTAAAAATATACAAAAATCTGAAAGCTTTCAGACTTTATATTACGTTCGAAGGGACGTTTTTGTTAACGTCTTGTGTGTTAATTTTATTTATTAAACATAATGTTCTTCGCACTTGCTGAGATAAAAAAATGTTTTTCTTTCGTTCAGTGTTGCGATTGCTCCTTTTGAAATCGTTGAGTTTGTTAATCGAAAATTCGTTAAAGTTTTACAATATCTGAAATAGATAATAAAGCAAATTCCATATTCCAAATTTAGGCTTCCAGATGCTCATATTTAGGTGGAAACTTACGTTGTTCAAAATTTGATGGCTATAGGTACCGTCGTTTCATCACAGTGCGAGAAACATACACATTTATGCAGATTCTTCATTATTTAATTTCTTTAAATATAACACAGGGCTGTAATATTGTGTGGCAACAGTTTGAAAAGTGAACCAACATTTAAAATTTTCAACGCAAAATGCCAAAACGAAATTAATAGCTCTTTTGAGCTTTAACACTCTTTGGGGTAAAAAAAAAGAAGGGGAAAAACTAAAACACTGAGTGTGCTGCAATAAGAATTCAGATAATGCAGTATTAGATAAAAACTTTCAAAATCAACATTTTTCCTCCCATTGGTATTTAAGTTCTTACTCGAGACTTTGTTCTACTACGCGAAAAAAACAAAAGTAATAGCATAAGATATTCTAAATGCAATAGTTCATAAAGATACATAAAAAATTACACAGGCACACTATAAACTACCTATCTAAGTCGATATAACTAAGCCGAATCGTAATGCTTTATTTCGACTTCTTCCTGCCACATCATACTTCGACATTATATTAGCTTCCGGTGATATGCGATTTTTTTATCTTTTTATGATGCGACCTTTTAACCACTGCTGTATTAATCTAAAATTATCTTTGATCAGAGGTATGTGTTTCTCAATTATCTAAACAAAAGCGTTATCGCTTGAAAAGGAGCTTTTTTAAAATGTTAACAGTTGAAGGTGCATGAATGTCTCTATCAATGTGTAATGTAACTGAAAGGATTCGCCAAATTGTTAAAGATCAAGCAAGTCAGAAAAACATGGAGCTCATTTCTCTTATTTTATTAATCACGTTAACTTCCGGGGTTATTCCAGAAGGTAAATATAATTAGTTTCAAATATAATTTAAATTATTGCAGTTACTTATTTCAAAATCGTTTTAAAATGATAGATTTAAATTATTCATAAATTTATACATAAATACTCTTTTCAAAATGAAGATGAAATAATTAAGCAGTAATTTGATAAGTATTGCTGGTAACTTTGTAAATACTTATTATTTTTTATAAATATTGCTGTTAACTTTGTGAATACTTATTATTTTTGATAAGTATTGCTGTTAACTTTGTAAATACTTATTATTTTTGATAAGTATTGCTATACTTTAATTTTATATTGCTTTTTAATGCAGTGGGTGTAAATCGTTTGAAACTTAGTGTATTTTGATAAGTATTTGATTTTCCGCACTTTCTAATAACGTTTCAAACGAAATACATTATTAGGTGCTCAATTATTTGAAAATTCTCTAATATGAAATAAATGGCAAGAGTAAGGCAAATGACAGAAGACATTGTCTGGTTTGAATTTTTCAATAATTATGAAATTAACAAGAAAGAATATTAATCGAAAGCCATTGACATTTGCTGTAATGTTTGATATTATATTCCCTCTTTATTCTCAATTCTGTTTCGATTTTTTTGTAGGAAAAAATATTTATTTGAAATTTAATAGAAAAATATTACATTACTTTGCAAGCCGCGCAGACGGTATAGTAGTTAGAAAAGCCTATTCCGATAAAGAGCCCGCGTTCGAATCCCAGAGAAGGCATGTTTGTAACTGTTTGTCCGTCCCTTCATAGCAGGCAACAGTGAACGCCTATTTAGTATGCTCATGAGAGTGGTATTTTGTAAGGATTGTAAATTGTAGTAAGAACACTATTCATGATTTGCTTCAAATCCTTCCGCGATGCTCTCGACAGCATGTTGTTCAAACAAAACAATGTGCACTGGTAACAATAACTACAATCTTCCTGTAAAGTTAAAAATATTTAGTAGCATCCAGAATAAAATAGCCTTCATTTCTGGCCTTAGGAGTGGTCAATACTGAACAGGCAAAATGCTAGCCGTTGGATTAAAAATAGTGATTCTGTGATTCAAGTGATTCTGTTAAAAACAATATAGTTCATAATCAAAACATCCAATAATTGGAAAAATATATATATATTTCAATATTTTATATAATGACTATGTTTTCTGTAGTTCAATCCACTTAAACATGAAAATGTACACGTCTTATTTCAGGTAAGCATGTATAATCAAATCATAACATTTAAACTTTCATTTCAATATGCAATTCAAATTGAGATTAGTTTACATTAATTTATCAATGTTTACTTAGATGTCTGGATATTATTCATATTTTAATGTCATTTATAAATATTTCTGATTGTTTCATCAATTAAATTTAGTTTTTTTTTCCTCAGACTTTATATTTAAGTTATGTCACAATTCGTGTATTTTTTCTTCTTAGAACATATTATTAAAAGTTAGTGAATATAAAATAAATTTTATTATGAATTAGACTTTAAAAGCAATATGAATCCCGGTAAACGGTTGAAGACATGGATATCCCCTTCCCAATCTGTAAAAACAATCAGGCAGTTTCCTTTATTGAGGTCTCCACGGATGCATTCTTCTTCTTAGAATAATAACCCAAGTGTGCTTTTCCATAATTATCATAAATAGTCCATTAAAAGTAACACCATGGTGTCTCAAACTCTGCTGAAATGAGCTCCGCATTCACCGTGTCTTATCCTCTCTTTAAAATGTATCCGTTTCACATATTGATGTCTATTATTCCTTTTTTAAATGTCCAGTATTTCTTGCTTGTCCATTGTTTCTTAAATGTTTCCGGATTCACCATATCTTTAAAATTTATTCATTTCATATACATTATACTGTTCATTACTTCTTTTCCCAAAATATGAAATGTAACAGAGTGTTGTTACAAATATTTGTCCAAAATACTTTAAACTAACATTATGAACAATGGTAAAAATTAGTTTATAATCATTCTGTCCTCCTAAAATGTTACGCATTCGAGCAATAAAATGCGTTTCTGAGACGGGAAATACTTCTTTTTGGTTTCCTTTACTAAAATAAAATAATCATTAAGGTCGTGATATATAAATGTTCTCATCATTGACTTTAAACAAAGCAATTAGAATCATCTTAACAGTTATTTCACTAAACATGTCTGCAGTGTATATTTGTTGATAAAATGTTTTGATTTGATTATGAAATTAAAACAATATATGTATTTTCATACCATTTCGATTTCTCATCTTATTTGTACATCTCATCTCATCATTGTAACGATTAAAATGTTTAAGTCATTACTTCCAAAATCAGTCGACAGGAGGGTAATCGAAATTAACTTTATATAAACGTTTTCGTCATCCGCTGGTTATTTTTATCATCATCATTATCACATTCGTTATTCTTATTATAGGTATCAGCACATTGTATCATCTGATGCTAAACTATTCTTCGACATTCTAGTATATATAAAACTAAACGTGAAAATGATTCAGTATCATTATGTATCTCATTATTGCAGTATCATTCTGGAACGAAGATAAAAACATTTTCTGTTATAGAAACAGAGATTTAGCAGAATTTTCCGGCAAGGAAAAGAATACTTTTACATCTACTACCTTGTTTTAAATGTATGTTCTAATATTTTTAATTACTATACTTATAAATTAAGGAGAATGCCAGCTTTTAATAAACTCCAGACCGCCTTTCATTAATAGTATATATAATATACACTGAGGTAATCGCGATAAATGTCAATAGTATCTAAAAGAAAAACATCTAAATTTAAAGCAGATCCCTGCAAAAGATTTTGTCAAATTATAATGATTGTACGACATGACCAAAATAGATTTTATCCGGTTCTTATTTTTGCAACTGCTTGTCGTAAAAGTATATATCCAATTACAAAAATGTTTTAAAGGCTCCAGTCAAGCACGGCAAAATTATACCTGAGGTGAATCCACCTGAGGTGTAACATCTACAGAGTTCTAAACCTTATTGAAATAGCACACAGAGAAATATTTTAAATGCAGATAATAGAAAGCATATTTCTTGGTTTAATTACATGGAAATGTTTGGGATGAGTGTAGTAAATAAGACCTTCTATTTATCCATTTCTAAGTGCTTGTCGCTATAGTAAAAAAAAGTGCTTGTTGATTTCACTTTTCAAGAGATACGTGAATACGGCAGCTCATGAGAGTGGTATTTTGTAAGGATTGTAAATTGTAGTAAGAACACTATTCATGATTTGCTTCAAATCCTTCCGCGATGCTCTCGACAGCATGTTGTTCAAACAAAACAATGTGCACTGGTAACAATAACTACAATCTTCCTTGTAAAGTTATAGATGCAATTTGGCATTTGATTACTTGCCATGTTTGATGCCCTGGAAGCCAATCTTTTCCAGATTTAGAATCATTTTACGTGAGAACATTTGCAGTCGTTTGGCTATAGCGTAACATCCTCAAAGTTCTAAACCTTATTGAAATAACACACAGAGAAATATTTTAAATGCAGGTAATAGAAAGCATATTTCTTGGTTTTAATTACATGGAAATGTTTGGGATGAGTGTAGCAAATTAGACCTTTTATTTAGTCCGTTCCTGAGTGTTTGTCGCTAAGGTTAGAAAAAAAAACTACTCCTGGATAATCTAGCAAGCATATTTTATGTTCTTTTTATGAATGACAGCATAATGTGCCGAAGCGTTTTTTTTTTTTTTTTTTTTTTTTTTTTTAATTCGCATTAGTGTTTCTAAGATTTATCTTAATTTTCTAACAGTTAATTTTGAGTTACTTTCCTGTCTTGCCTTAATTTCAGGTTACAGCTTCCGGCCAGAAGATATTTTCAGAATCGCGTTTGAAAGCAAATGAGGAGAAGAAGTATTTAACTGTGAAGGTCTGCTGACTTCGTTAGAGAGCCTGAGATTCTGCTCAGCGCGCGTTAGCCTTTTAACGATACTCTCTCACAAACTTTTATTACGTTTGGCCGTACCTGGGCCCTTGATAGCTTCGAGGGGCCAGGTCTGTTAGAATCTTGTTAGACTATATCCTTTTAGTTTAGTTACGTTTTATTGATATTCCTGTGGGGAAAAAGGAGACCCAGAGCACTATATTTTCAAGTGCCAGCTCACAAAAGAGCTACACTGCAAAGGAAGGTCACAAATTACGCCTGAGTACATTAAATGCATGCTAACGATACCTCATTTACAACAAAAGGTTTCCTTGATTATGAAGAAACTTTTTGCATATAAAAGAGAAGACATATGTCAAGATGATATCGCATCTGTATAAATACCTCTTATTCTACAACTTGCAAAAATAATGCAAGATTTCAGAAATATTGCAAGTGTCTGAAACAGGCTAAATATGGTATAAATAGTTTTTATAAAATAGTTACATTAAGAATTTGGACTGTATTAGTGTAATAATTAAATCATTAATTAAAAAATAATGTAAATAATATACGACTCTATTAGATATATTAGTGTAAATGTAAGTATTATGTGATTTCTAATGTATATTTCTGTATTTATGATACATTAATTTACAAAAATAATAATGTAAGACTTCAGTGCTGATGCATTTGTGTGTAACAAGTTAAAAAAATGAAAGGAAATGTATTAATAAGAGAATTCGCCTTAGTAATTCAACTAAGTATGATAAAATGCACAAAAAAAAAAAAAAAAAAAAAAAAAAAAAAAAAAAAAAAAAAAACTTCAATTAGCTCTTTAAAATGATGTTTATTTTAATCGATGTAACTAGATATACTAATGTAATATATTGTTTGTATGAAGTACAATGTACAATGAAAGTTTGTATGTATGTTCGAAGTAATTATGTTATTTCAATCTGCCATAATCCAACTTTTGTTGATAGGTTAATTTCTTTGCAATAATTGTATACTATGTCTTTGTAATTGTATATTCAATACGTAAGTCTAATATTAATGTAAAATTACTATGTAAATGTCTTGGTAGGCTAGCATCCGATGCGGGCCAACTAAAAGCCCAGCGGGGTACAGTAGTGCGGCGGAGCAACACCTGTAAAAGTCACTGACGAAGTTCTGGTGCTCCGTCCACTTTTCCCTGTCCCTGTCCCTGATTATTATTCCTGAGTTCAAGCCCAAGTGGAGGCTTCATTGTACCTCCAAGAAGGAGTGGTCTGTTAAACTTTGTTTTGAATAGGTTATGTTATGTTAGGTTATTTAATTACGGCAAAGCCTCAAGGGCTATCTGCCTAAGGGGAGGGATGCCTTTGTGGAGGACGTTCTAAGGGAAACTGGCTAGTATACACGTTACCATGGGGAAACTACGAAAACACCCATGCAACCAGCCCGTTCGCGGGATTCGAACCTCGGACCGAACTACCAGTGTACAGCGACTTTACCGCTCGGCCGCTGGTGGACTTATTTTGAATAATAAAGGATAATTAACCCTTCGTACGTTTCTTCTCTGAACTAAGAGATTATTTGCTTCTCAGTTCTCAACGTTTCAGACCCATTGCAGTAACATCCAATGTTTGGAATCTCACAGGTTTTTAATCTTGAAAAGTTTTTCGCTAATGTTTTCGTTTAAAAAAAACTAAGTTCTCAGGAATTTATTATTTACCCTATCAGACAGAGTGGAACAAACTATTTTAAATGAAGTTATGTGCAATGTTTAATGTAATTTTTTATTTGTCGGGGAATTTTAAAAATTGCTTGATTTTTCAGCTATTTGACGGTCATTACTTTCAAATTTAAACTTCTAAAAATGTATCTGCTGTAATATTTTGAAATTTTCACAGCTCTAACACAAGATCTGCCACCTTTTAACTAGAAGAATGATAAAAAGATCTAACTGGGCGATTTTGTATATTTTTTTAAACATGGTGCAGTCTTTAGGTAGAGGCCGAAAGTGTGGTTATTTTTGTGGCATCACATGGTATGCTTGGAGCTTCAAAATTACGATTTCGTCATACGTAACATTGCGTTTTCTAGTATTCATTTCTCTAATACTAAATTTATTTATTTTTATTTATTTACCTTATCCCCTTGTTAGAAATAACACTTGTAAAAAATTAATATAAATTTTTCAGCAAATTTTATAAATATTATTTTTTCCCTTATTTATTAACCACAGATTTTATATTTACTATTCATTTTCTTTCATTGACCTTTGGTTACTCCACTGATTACTTTACGAGTTTACGAGTTTTAAATAAAAGCTTATTTTGTAAAAAAAAAAAAAAAAAAAAAAAAATCTGAAATGTTTCAGATTTTAAATTACGTCCAAAGGGGCGTTTTTTAACATTTTGTGTGTTACCTTTCTTTATTGTTAAATATCATGTTCCTCGCACTTAAACCATAAGATTCCAGTTGCAACAGCAATATCGCAAAATAGTTTTAAAACGAGCATATCTTTAGAATTTCCGAGAGACTCACGCGCTGGAGATAAAAATGTTTTTTTCTGCACAACGTTGCCATTGCTCGCTTTGAAATCCTTGAGTTTGTTAATCAAAAATTCGTCAAAGTTTTAAAAAATAGGAAATCGATCATAAAACAAATTTCAAATTTCAAATTTGGTCTTCCACATGCTCATATTCGTTGGAGGATTACGTTATTCAAAATTCGATGACTCTATGTACCGTTGTTTTATCACAATACGAGAAATATACATACATTTATGCAGATTTTTCATTATTTAATTTCTTCAAATATAATGCAGGACTCTAACATTTTGTGGCAACAGTTTGAAAAGTGAACCGACATTTATGAGTCCGACGCAAAATTCCAAAACGAAACTAATAGTCCTTCGGGATTCAAATCCCTTTGGACTAAAAAAAAAAAAAAAATTTAAAAAAAAAAAGTAAAAACAAGATTTTACTAAATACTTTGAGGATCAAGTGTAGGTGCGTATGCTAGCTTATTTAATAGATTTCTTTACTTGAATCAACTGAAGAAGTTACTGCGTGGTAGCCGAGAAAATATACTAACTTCAAGTTACAATATTATACGATTTAAAAGAAAAATAGAACTTATAGAACGATTATGTTCTGAAAGGGAATCTTGATATGTTATCTGAACTACTGGCGGTACTGAAAAGTGAATATGTTTATCAAAAATGCCAAGTTCTTTGGTATCTCACCTAGAGGTGTGGTCGAAGAAAACTGATTATCATTTAATTTATCACCCAGTCAAAAGATCTATAGGATTGAGTGAGGAATCTCTTTCCTTGCACTTCTGGTCATCTCTAAACCCAGCTCTAAAAGTAGAAGAATTTTGTGACTTACAATCGCATGGTTCATTGAAAATCAGATTTTATGATATGTATTTGGACAAACCTCGAATCCCTGTCGAAAGTGACCATCCAACACTTCACAAGAAAGCAGTTAATATATTGCTCCAAATTTCAACACCGTACATGTGTGAACAAGTTTCATTGTGTTTAAGAGTAAGGATAAAATAGTGTTTTTTAGGGAGAAATGAAATCTGCATAATTATATAGTGATTATGGCAAATCACACACACACTATATAATTATGCAGATTTCATTTCCCCCTGTAAGCCTCGAGGGCTATCTGCCTAACGGATGGGATGCCTTCGTGGAGGATTTTCTGAGGGAAACTGGCTCGTATACACATTACACATGGGAAAAACCACGAAAACGCCCATGCAGCCAGCCTGTTCGCGGGATTCGAACCTCGGACCGAACTACCAGTGTTCAGCGACTTTACCACTGCTCGGCCGCTTGTGGACGCATAAAAATATAGAAAATCAATGCAAGCTTTTTTTTTTCAAAAAAACATGAAGGAAGTTTCCATTAATAACTTTTATAATTTATTATACTGAATTAATAACTAATTAATAATTAACTAAAGAAACTATCAATTGGATGTAGTTGCACTTTTTGTTAGGTTATAAATAAACAACTAAAGTAATAGTCATTTTGTGTTTCTATTAATGATCATTAATGAAAATATTATAAAACAATATTGTTACCATGACGCTGGATCTCCCTAGATTTTGAATAATGTCATAAGGATTTTTTAAGAGTGAAATTGTTGGGAACTACTGTCTTAAAGAAATGGAAAGAGGAAATAAGTATTTCTTTTCAAAAGAAGTACGAACACTTTTGCTTAATTTATTTAAAAGATAGGTACTTCTATTATGATGATGTTTAAAGAACAAACAAAAAGTTTAAACTTAACCTAAATTTGCAACATATATTTATTTCTATAATGAGAGTGATGATTATGATTAATATAATATAGATCTTGACGAAGAAAACCTTTATTACTTGTGCCATCTATTGTCAAGAAAAATGTCTAATTTCATCAATATTTCGTCCTGGATTTTACAGAATGCAATTGCGGTCCAAATGGAACTTGCTCTATTGATGACAACGCACAGAAAAACTGCATTTGTAATGAAAAGTTCATAGAGTTTGAAGGAGAATGTAAAGGTAATCTATTTCTGCTAGTAAATGGTTTTCTCTTTTACGAATAAATCCCTAAATTTGCACTTCTTGAAATTATTGAAGTTGAAAAGAAAATCTCACTTTAATAAAAATGTATACTTTGAAATAATATGATTTGTATATAATTCGGACAAAAATAAATACTAATTCATAATATTCATGCTCCTAAACAGTTCTCGATTTTCTTCATAAACAGGAATACCATTTATTTCTATTGATATTAATCTAAAATAATACTAATTCATATTCATAGCACAAACGTATACTTATTACTTTTTCAGCAGTAACTCTTCAACAAATACTACGTAGTACATCATTAAACTCGAGTGTTTTTATACCTATGATATTAAACTATAACTACAATAAATACTTACGTTATTAGGGAGACATTTACCTAAAAATCTTTCCTTTTATGTTTTTTAAAATTCTTTTGGTTTTTATCTTTCGATTCTGAGGAAGAACATCACTGTAGTCTTTATTTATTTAATCATTTTTTATTCTGGAGTTTTGGCGTATTTTAATTAACAGTTTTAAGCTGCTTTATCTCTGATAAGTTAAATTTAAATCAGATATTATATTTAAATAATGCTATAGAATAGTACAAAATAATATGAGCCTGGTATGTCTGAATTATTTTTTTAATTACATTTTTATTTTGTGTTATTTCAGAGTGCTATTGTGGAAACTCTTCTTCGTGCTTTCTGGATGAAAACGGAGCCAAAGAATGCATATGTGAAGATGGCTACACAGAAGTTGATGGAATATGCAAAGGTCCGCATTATAATACTGTACTCATCAGTAAATCCTTTTTCTTAATTATAGTCTCAGTATTTGAATTTTCAAAATGCAATCATTCAGGCAAATGCGAAGTACATTTGTGTGTAAAATTAAGAGAATTTACAAATAATGTCTTAGCACACAAATCAATCAAGTACTTGCACATTGCAATTTCAAAATTGTTGAAAGCACTTGCACTGTGTTTACAAATTAAAAAGAATATCTCTAATAATTATCCAATAATTTCCTATAGATAATTTAGAAAAGTATTAAATTGAAACGTTTAAGCGTAACACAGATTTTTTTTAAAAACTATTAGTGGAATTCTTAAGATTCACCAAGTGACAAATATAGCGATGCATTTGAAAACATAACAATAAATATAACTAAATATTTTACTGCTAATCAATTTAGCAGCTAGTTTTTGGCATTTCTTATGTTTAAGTGAGCAAAATCTACTGCAGTTTATTATGCATTTGCTTCTCAGGAAGTTTTAAAATTTAAAGAGTTTTCTCAAACATGTTTCCTCTTCGTTTCACCAAATTTATAATCTTAAAGGTATCAATTACTGTACTTAGATATAATAGCTACATTATAAGTCAAATTACTAACCTTGTTTTGTTACTTATGTATAAGCATAAGAGGTGTTACTACAGTAAAATTTCCATTTGATAATAAAATTGCTATTATTTATAATTCTGAAACGTTTATTTTTATTCATCTCGATATATGAGCTAATGATCTGCATGGTACATTTAACTTATAATCACGGGGTCTCCTTATGTGAAACATAAAGCAAACTTTCGTTAAACCGTGATTTTCGCGCTTTTGTAACAGTCTGAGAAGCTATAATTAAAAACAAATATATTGGTTACTGTAAGTAAGAAACGAATATATTAATATAGTAGAAGAAGTATATTAGATATATCAGTGCAATAATTGAACAAAAAACTGAATTTTCGTTTAGAATTCGCAACGTTTAAAGAAAGATATACACTATTTTGCTAATATGTTACAGGAGATTTATTTTCAGTATATATTTGGAATGTTATATATTTTATTAACAATTTACATTCCGAGTGTGAAACTGCGTCCTTCTTGATTTTGCAGTTAAAGAATGCGACTGTGGACCTAATTCCTCATGCTCTCTTGATGAAAATGGAGGAAAGGAATGTATTTGTGATAATGGACATGTAGATTTTAAAGGAAAATGCACAGGTAATTGTTTTATGTATCACTGCAGTAGCCTAAGAAGTAAATTCATTACTAAATTAATAATATTATTAATTAGAAGTAAAATCATTTAAAAGTAAAATAATATGTACACATATTAGCGTAACATGATGCGATTATAAAACTTGTATTAATAAACATAGTACTACATAGTAAACATAATACATCATAGCAAAATGTTCTTCAAACATGCCATTAAATTACTAATTAATCCATTTGTTAAAAGTAGCTTTCTCAGGGTTATATTTAGAAATAGACATTTTGGTTTCAAATTGTTTGTGTGTTTACAGAGTGCTATTGTGGACCCAAGTCAACATGCTTATTTGATGAAAATGGCACAAAAGAATGCATTTGTGAGGACGGCTTTATAGATGTCAGTGGAATGTGCAAAGGTATAGTATAAGATGTTAAATGTATCTTAGTAGTATAATGATAACTGCTAATATGTTTCCAGTTTCCTTTAAGTTCATTAGTTTTCATCACTTTTTGTAGTTATTAATTATTTGCAGATGAAATGTTATACTCATTAGATTTACTACATTATTATATATTTATTACTTATTAGATTTTATTAGTTGTGTTGCGTTTGTACATCAAGATTTGCTGAAGAGATCTAATTTTGTGTCGGAAGTCATGGCGGCGAATGAACGTACGGATCTGATCTGAGTCATTTCAGAGGGATTAGTAAGAAGGAGAAGATTTATTTCGTGACCATTTAATGTTTCGTACTGTTTCCAATAAGCTGATCAATATACAAAAATACACGAATATGTATATCCTGTGTGATTTTACATTTCTGTTTGCCCTTTCTAAACTGCATAGTAATTATTTTGTGGGACAGGGAAAAGTGTGTGTGTGTGTCTGTGATTATAGCAAAGCCTCGAGGGCTATCTGCCTAAGGGGAGGAATGCCTTCGTGGAGGACTTTCTATGGGAAACTGGCTCGTATACAGGTTACACATGGGGAAAACCACGAGAACGCCCATGCAGCCAGCCCCTTCGCGGAATTCGAACCTCGGACCGAACTACCAGTGTTAAGCGACTTTACCGCTCGGCCGCTGGTGGACCGGACAGGGAAAAGTAAAATTGTGTTTGTCTGAAAAATCAAATTTTAACTTCTCATTTCACCTAATAGTTCTCATTTCACCTAATAATTTTTTGTACACATATTTTAGTGACTATAAGTTCCGAGTTTTCTAGATTAATTATTACTATTACATCAATATGTGTTAAGAATATCGCAAACTTTTGTGGATATCATTTGCTTTCTTACATTAAAATGTGATAAAACATTTTTGAGTATTGTTTCTAATTCCATAACTTATAACATTATGAAATAAAAGTACATTTACAAAGCGTAATATTTGAAAATATATCTCAGATTTACGAATCATAATATTTCAACCTAGAAAAGGCCGGAAAATTTTGAGACAGATAAGCTATAGACAAATCATTTAATTTTATTTACTCACGTTTACTAAATTTTATTTAATGACAATTATTTAAAATATGTTCTTTATCTGTAATTATACTATGATACATTTATGAAAAGCTAAAAAGGTTTTTTAAAATTTAAATAATCTTGCTGTGTGGTGTGAAACACATCACTGTTATGTACGTTAAAACACGCAGCATCAAAGTTACATCACAAAAATTTGGAAATGCTAAAACAGTTCCTTAAGTGAAAGTCCTTAAGGAGAAATCCTTAAGGGGAAAAAGGATGTACCTTAAATCTGTTGGCCCTAAACATGAACAAGTGAGTAAAACCTAGAAGGAAAGGAATTTCGTTGTGTAGGAAAATTAACCCCCTTAATTGCGAGAGCTTGGGAACACAAATGATATTAATTCAAACAAATATATATATGTATATGCTTGAATATAAAATAGAATAAAACATTAGAGCATTATTAAATTAGTGAATATGTTATAAAAGAGCACAACAAAAGAAAAGGAATGAAATCCGTCTTAACATTTTGCTGAACCAGTAAATATAATTTCGAGTTTCTTTGTGAGTCAGGATGTGGTGTTGGTGTGTATTTAATTATGGCAAAGCACACGAGAGCTATCTGCCTATAGGGAGGGATGCCTTTCGTGGAGGACTTTCTAAGGGAAACTGGCTCGTATACACGTTACACATGAGGAAAACCACGAAAACGCCCATGCAGCCAGCCCCTTCGCGGGATTCGAACCTCAGACCGAACTACCAGTGTTCAGCGTCTTTACCGCTCGGCCGCTTGTGGGCTTGTGAGTCAGGATGAAAATCTTGTTTATTTACGGTACGATGTTTCTTTATAAGCACACTCTTTAAGCTGTATGTAAAAAGCTTTTAGTTAGTAAAATCGCCAATGAATTTTTTAATGATATATGTAATTTCCTTAACGTATTTATGAGATTTAATTTTTATCACATGTTCGGAAATTATTTTGTGCTCCTATTATGCTTTATATCGTTTAATGTGCACTGCGAAATCAAAATATCAGTTTACAAATATATTTATCTGAACAGCTACAATGAGCACATTCACCTGTATAGATATAGAAGAAATTAGAGTAGACTGGAGGATTCCACAATAGTTATGAAGCAATGAATGGAAATTTGTCAGTTAGGTTAGGGAAACGAAACAGTCTTTTAAAGAGTTGTCAGTAATGGAAAAAAGAAAAACTTTTTTTTCACTAATGGAAAAATAATATGAAATCTAAAATATCGATAGATATAGATTAAATATAGATGAAGATAAAAAATCATTTTAAACAAAGAAGAAACGTTTTTACTAAAAACATGATAATATTATGTGTATAGTACGATAACGTAGTGATTATCTATTGTGATTTGATTCCTGAAAAATCCAACTGTCACTAAGCTATTGCGTGATAATCAACTGATGCAGCTAAAGCAAACTATTGATGTAGAAATATTCTGTATTAAATAAGCATAAAAGCTATACTTCGTGCCATACTAATACATGACCTCATATATCCTCAAACGTTCTATAACCAATAAAGCAGTTTAAAAGGAAAATTGTAAAATTTTTTCATACCAACCGTTTCTGAAACTCTTCAAAACCACCTTGAAAAGAGATTTTGAATTTCTAGATATGGCATGCGGAGACTGATTCAAATTTGTTTTGGAATGGAAGGATTGCTATCTGCAGTGTTAAAACAAATTAAGGGGACTCATACACCTTAAAACCAATAAGATGTTCGAATAAGGCGACTGTTTCAAGAATTGGAATAACTTATTTATTTTAAAAGCAATTACTACCAACTTTTTAAAGCTCACTACATAATATAGATGCTTTCTGAAATAGTAATCAGAAAGTTTGTGTTGCCACAAATATTTTTTATAATTTAATCCGCTTTGTGACAACATTTTTCGTCCTCTTTTCCAACTTGTGCGCACAGTTTAAAACATTCTGTTTCATAATTTAATTCCATATTTAATATATAGCTTTTATAACATTTGGAAACTACTGTGAACCTAAAATTCTAAAAATTTCATGTTCAATTTTTATTTTATTTTGAGTCGAGTTTATAAAATGTATTTTATTAACAAAATTTGTAATGTTTTAGTCCATAAATTTTTCAATATTAAAATAGTTATCAGATTGTTGGTTCAGTACGAAAATAGTGCGCATATAAAAAATTCCATACAATTTCAAGTATGTACCATTAGCCATTTTTAAAATATCATGCGCGCAAGGTGGAAACATGGCGAAATATTTTGTCACAAAGAGGATTAAATTAAAAAAATATTTGTGGCAACACAAACTTTCTGGTGACTAGTTTCTAAAGCAGCCGTATTATGTAGTCAGCTGTAAAAAGGTGGAAGTAATTGCTTTTAAAATAAATAAAATATCCCAATTCATGCAACAGTCACATTTTCGAAGATCATGAGAGGTTTAAGGTGTATGAGTCCCCTTAAGTTGAAATAATAGCACTTTGTAAATAATAGCAATAAAAAAACTTTAGAGCGTAACAGAATACGTTTCTTTTAAATAATTGGTGATTTAATCAATTAGATAATTTTTTTTTAAAGCAGGAGAGAGAAAAAATCGCCCTCGCCCGAACTCAAACCACAGCCCTTTTAAAGGGTGACTGAGGATTAGGAGACCCAATCGCTGAATCCTGGTGGTGAAGAATCATCATCCACCACCTTTTTATTTCGGACGCCGCTGTAGAGACCATTTTCTGAATCAAGCATCAAATGAATAATATCATTTTCAAAGTACCATTTTCTGAATTTTAAAGCCCACATTCTGCATTCTTTTATAGATATTGAATGTGATTGTGGACCCAATTCACTATGTTCCTATGATGAACATGGAGAGAAGCAATGTATGTGTAAAGACGGCTACAGAAATATTAATGGAAAATGCACAGGTAATTGTGTTCATTGTATTTTACTTAATTGACATCTTATTTGTACTTCTAGGTTTCAAACTTGAACTGTTGTTTATGAACTTAGAAAACAATGCTCTCGAAATTTCAAAATATGGAAACGTGGCATTCTTACTGAAATAACATGCATATTTAATTTCAATTGGAATATTATTCTATGAAATATTTTGAACTGCTTAATGTTACGTATTCCAAAGAAACAAGCGGAGATCTGTAGCGTATATTAAGTACTGATGTATGTTAAGCAAATAAATTAATGTTAGGTAAATGTTGCTGTAAACAAAACATATATTTTTAATTTGCATGTAATAGCTTATGTTAAGTAAATTTTATTTATTTACATAACATAATCCACCAGTATATGTCATGTAAATAAACTTATGTTAGGTAAATGTTGTTGTAAACAAAAATATATTCTTAATTTGTAAGTAATAACTTATGTTAAGTAAATAAACAAAATTTAGTAATTTAAAATTAATTAATTGAATATATTTAATATGAAAAGTACAAAAATAAAAGTTGAGTAAACTTTTTAAAACATTATTGTGGAAAATAAATATATATATAGTATGAACACAAATGTAAAAGCATTTGGAAGCTCAATATAAAGAATAAGTGTATCAATAAAAATAAACCACGCTAAATAGATTTAATCATAGGCAGATAGCCCTAGAGTTGCTTTGCCTTAACCAAATAACCCTAACCTAACCTGTTTAAAAGAAGTATGATTAGCCTTATTTTGAAACAAGAATTTAAGGTCGAAAATCTATATCACCTCTATTCGTGTATTTGCAGAATGCTATTGCGGGCACAATTCTACCTGTTTCTTCGATGAAAATGGCGTTAAGAAATGTGTTTGTCAAGATGGTTTCGTGGATTTTAATGGCAAATGCACAGGTAATTATAGTAAACTCCCTGTTAATAAGGGCAGTACCACGAACTACTTCTAAGATTATTTCTACACCTGTTAAAATACAAAGAAAGGCTGAATAAACTATTATAATTAATACTATAAGTAATAATTGACCAGAAGTTTTCAACAGTATTATATGGATAAAATCTCGTTTGGTTGTAAATTATATCAATATTCAAATCAGGAACATACTTCAAGACATAACAGACAATGTTATTGTTTATATAACTCAGTATTTTGTGTGTGTGTGTGTGTGTGTGTGTGATTATGGCAAAGCCTCGAGGGCTATCTGCCTAAAAGGAGGGATGCCTTTGTGGAGGACTTTCTAAGGGAACTGGCTCGTATACACGTTACACATGGGGAAAACCACGAAAACGCCCATGCAGCCAGCCCGTTCGCGGGATTCGGACCGAACTACCAGAGTTCAGCGACTTTACCGCTCGGCCGCTGGCTCAGTATTTTGATAGGAGTCAATAAGAAAATGAGAATTAAATAACTGAACATTTTATTTTTACGATTTAAAGATTTATTTTAACGGATTATTTAACAATGTTTGTATATTTTATATTACTCACAACTTTATATTTCTGGTTGTGTACTGTTAAACTGCATATTGTTGTTGAAAAACATAATTCTTAATTGTATAGATTTAATCTGCTATCGCTGCTTAATAGCAATGCATTTTACACTTGTTTTAGCATTTTCCGTAAATATTTGCTTGATTCTGATGGTTTATGACAGAATTTATTTTAACGCTTCACTACGAACAAAGTTGACCTTTTTTTTCACAGAAGATCTGGTTAATCGCAAACCTGATAAATACGCTTCCGTTTAGTAGGAACATGATTATAGGCCACAGAAGTATAATATTAGAGCATTCAAAATTTGTCCGTGCAATTAGGTTTTCATTTATTTTCTAGGTTGTTTCCGTTTGTTAGTTTTCCAGTATTCTTTCAGTGTTCTAAAAAGATTTTAGGCAAATTGTGCATGCTTATTTATTAATTTTTTTTCTTGCTTCTTTAAATTTCCATTCAGTATGTTTCGCTAACAAATTCCTTAGCTATATTACAGAATGTACTTTATTTCTCCTATTTGTGTCTTTACACTTTTCGATTTTCCTAAAAATACATTCATTAGTTTGCATATCAAAAAGCTTCTTTCATTGATCTTTTAATCTGCTCATATAATGGCTCGGCACTGTCAGCTAATTAAGGTAACGGATTGTGTCCCGATTATATTGTTTATTCATTTATTTTATTGTTTATTGCAGCATGTCGCTTATTGCGCCAGCATATACAGAGTTTTATTCATGTTTTGCAGCTTTACGTGAATGCAAAAGCTTACGGCGTGAATGCAAAAATATATCTCAATGGTATATTAATAAAGAAAAGAAGACGTATTAGCGACCTGAGAGAACTGAAACGCTTAAAGCCACGAGAGAAAGGAAAGATTAGCATGACAATGATGGATCTTGCAGTAACTTCAACAGCGACAATACAAGAGAGCATGAGAGTTTTTGAGCATTTCTGCAGTAGCAACCTCATCAACAAAATGCGGGGATGGTTCGATAGCTTTTTATAATATATAAAACTTTATTTGCTATATCGGGTAAAATCATGTCATGTGCAAAAGGTGGATACTGCTGGCTGTGAAGGGAATTTTAAAAACGGTTTTATACTATCCACATGCAAGGAATATTATAAAAAAATGTCTTATTATGCACAGTGCGATGACGAATCGATGACATGGCAGAGATAATGTTCCGGTCGAAGGAGCACTAAATTGTCTTGAAACTAGGCTTCGGGAATTTCACTTCACACATACTGAAATTAATGAGTTGGTTTCGCTTACTAAAGTTTCTCTAAGTCAAACCCACTTTGTTTTCAAAATGCATATTTTCGTCACTGAAGGATGGCTAGGGGTAATCCTCTCAGTCCGGTACTTGCTGACATTTATATGCACTATTTTGAGATGAATTAATTGATAAATATCTTTTCGTCTTTGGATTCGGTATGTTGACGACACTTTTTCGCACTTTTTGACGGTTATAAAGAGGATTATCCGGGATTCTATCTATATGGAATTCAATTGATCCAGCCATCCAATTCACTCTTGAAATGAATCCAACAATTCCCTCCCCTTCCTCGATATTCTTATAATCCGCAATGAAACCGATTTTAGCACCACTGTGTACCGTAAACCCTTTGCAGTTTGTTTACCACCCCATGCCAAGTCATGCCACCCTGTTAAGCAAAAAATGGCTCTTTTACTATTATGTTTTCCGCGCGCTAAAAAAGTTTGTTCCTCTGAAATCTTTGCTTACCAATGACTTAATTATTTGAGAGCAGTTGCGATTGACCGTGGATTTTCTCCGTGATTATTGATAAAGCCGTCAATAAATTTTCAGATTCCCATCAAGAAGACATTCCACTGTTAGAATAATATCAATGACGTTGTCGTGCTTCCATTTTTTATCCTTCTGTTAGCTATAAAATTGCACGGATTCTCCAGAAAATTCAATTTTCAAGTCGTTTTCCCCTATTAATAAAATTCCCCGTCGATTCTAAAAGATTGTTTTTCTGTCTAATTCTTGGGAATTTATAGTATATCATGTCAGAACATGAAATCTTGTCAAAAAAGGGGAATTAACAAGTCTTCAATAGCGTATCATAGCTGGACTTTTAACCATAATTTTGATTTTGGGCTGCAAAAATCATCCAAAGGCTTCTTCCATAGCGAATTGGATTTTCTTGAGCTTTTCACATTCACAAAGATTTAGAAAGTTTAGTTAATGGTTGAGTCCAATCCAGTCCTTCCTATGCCTTTGAAATTCTACTGTCTTAATCCAATTATTTTTGCCGATAGATGGCGTTACCTCCTCGCACTTGGTACTACCAGAGGGCATAAAAATCCGTTCAGTGGTTGCTTTCCATTATTTGAAGTTCAGATTTTGATTAATGTGCATTTGCCCCTCGCTCCCTCATTAATGTGCATTTGCCCCTCGCTCCCTATTTTAACTTCGCTAATATTTCTTTATGCTTGATCAGACAGCCTGGCTCAGTAAAAGTAGGCGGTCAGTGCAACTCTGATTAAAAATCTAGTTATAACCCACGTGCAGTGCTGATAAGCACCACGTGTTTCTGTGATTCCTATTTTCTTTTCTTCTTTCTATGTATTTCTTTCTTTCCTGATGAGGGAGGGACCTTTAGCTGCCCCTCGAAATCGATTGAGTGTTTCATTATACCTACGCTAAATATAAGGTTGTTTTTTACGATTTTGATTGTCACATTAGCGGGTTTCTCTTCTAGTTCTAGTCTATGGGCAGAAGATGTTGAAGTTTCGTTATGCGAACTTATGATACCCACCAAATTTTCTCTTCAGTTTGATGAATCAACCTCGCCAGGTACTAATGAGGCTTTACTGTCAGCGTATATCCGGTTTGTAAAGGAAGGAAAAAATTATTCAAGACATGCTTTTTGCAAAACATTTGATTGCAGATACTAAAGGGGCCTCTTCCGAGTATTACGTATGTTGCCACCGATGGAGATCCTGCAATCGTAGGGTCGTCATTGTGGGTTCATCGTCCTTTTGAAGAAAGAGGTATCAAGTATTTTAGCTGTTCATTGCGTAATTCATAGACAGTAATTAGTTACAAAAAACCTCAGCTACCGTTTCATTAGTTATTACAACAGGCTATCTGTCGTGTGAATAAAATTTAGTAATGCTTTCAATGATCGATTATTTGGGCAACTGTATAAGGACAACGATTACGAATTCAGTCGATTGCTTCTACACACCGAGGTTCGCTGACTTTCCACAGGCGCTTGCCTCAATAGGTTCTGGAATCTTTTCGACTCTGTACTTGAGTTCTTCGAAGAGAAAAATGTAGCTCTGAAAGATAAATTGCTACAATTTAAGATTGGTAATGCTTACATGACCCATTTATTCCCAAAATTCATTGGAATTAATTTGCAGTTCAAGGTGAAGAGCTCAGTTTGATCACAGCAAAATCTGCTATTTCTGTTTTCCTAAAAAAACTCACTTTGCGGAAGCAGAAATTTGGTGGCACGAGTTGAGCCAGTTTGCAATCTTGTCAGATTTACATAAGAGCAGTGAAACGTGTCTGATTTACATAAGAGCAGTGAATTCAATGAAATACATGTTTACTGTCAACACCTTTAGTTTTTACACAAGGACTCGGCTGAGCGATTTCAAGATATTTTGTCCCTGAATTTCCCTAAGTGGGTCATTAATCCTTTAATGAATATTGAGACAGCAGAGGTTCAGCTTCAGGAGGAACTGGTCGAATTTTCAACGAATGAAACTTTGAAAGCCAGCTTACAGAAAGTGATCGTCTCACAGAATTTTGGTTTCAAAGTAATATCAGTCGCCTCTACCCAGGATTGTGGAATATCGTCGAACATTTTTAATTGATTTCCCTTCCTCGTACTTTGTTGAGCGAGGAATCAGTGCTGTGACTGATCTAATTACAAACGAGAGAATTCGACTCCAAATCGGGGAAAAAGAGAAAACATGCACCTTCATCTCTCTAAAACTATTGAACCGAGCTTTCAGAAACTGGCTCTGAACCATTAAACACAGACATCCCTACTGATCACACTTAATATTTTCAATGATAGTACTCTTTTACTGTATTTTTTCTGTTTTCCTTTTTTAATTATTTAGTTAAGAATAAAGGATTTTTAAACATAAAACATCGTTTAAGCAATTTGTTTCTGGGATTAGTCATTTAAATTTAGCAAAAGGAATGTATACCTTCCAGGCAAAACTATCGAGTTAAATCAAACAAATTTGAAAGTCTACAGAAAAAAAAAATCATTTAGAATTTTTACCATTTATAATTCAGGAACCCGTTTTCCCATATCCAAATTACAGGATTTTCACAAAGGGCGACATCGAAAAATTTTTCGCTTCTTAGGGGGGCAGCAACTTCGAAACCTGCCATTTTTTGTTTGAGCACCTCCCATTTTTGTTGTAATCGGCCGCACCAATCATATTAATATATATATCCTCTCTGTTACTCGGCTCCGCAAGCTCAGTTTTTTCCATTTTTATATGTAAGTAAATTGCCCATTTTTCTGCTTTAAAAATAGTTGAATTATGCTGTTCTTATCTTTCGGATATAGGTTTTATGCCTTTAGTTAATCTGCATGCAATAGTTGTAGAATTTTCAACAATTTAAAAGTTGTTTACGTGAGGCTAAGCCTAATGTTTCTTGCCATACCAGCCATATTTGTTTACATTTGAAACATAGCAGAATAGCAAATTAAGTTTTTTTGCACCTCCAATGTGTTTTTGCCATGTGGGACCAAAAGGAAACTTTTAGTTTTGTGCACCAAAACATCTGCCTTTTTACCTGCTGGATGAATTGCTTGTGTTTGGGCAGAGACTCTAATTTTAATGCTAAAAATTGGTTTTTTTAATTTTTTTATTGTATTTGGTGTTTTATGTTTTTCTATAGCTTTCTAGTTTTGATATAGATATTTTGAGTTTTTATGTATTTTTGAATTGTCGCGAAGTGAGAACTTGATTAATTCAATGAGAAATATATCCTTAATGAAATTCCAGGAAATAAGTATTTCGTATTAGCAGTAAACATAGTCGCCAGTTTGTCTTGGACAGAGAATATTATTTACGAGTAACGCATGCGTATTAGATAAGATGCGCTGAATCGTGTGTGAAAACAGTTTTTTTATTTGTTTAATTTCTTTATATCTCTTATACATCGTTTTAGATTTATTATAGTATTTGAATAGAACATGTGGAAACGATTAGATAATTCTTCTGATGATACAATTATTGTGCATTCTGAGTTATAAACTGAATGAGATATAACGTTGGTAAGTGAACCTATCGCCAGAGTGTCGATATGGTAAACAAATATAGTGAATTTTAAAGAGCGCATTTATTCTATTATGGTTTATGCGCTATCCACGAAGTAAATTTAATTCAATTTAATAAAGTTTAAATGAAATGTAGGAAAAGTTCGTATAATTTAATATTTCGTATGTGGTGTACACATCAGGTTTTTTAAAATTACAACTGCTCAGAAGAACACTGTACAACTTTAGACAGTTAAAGGCATATAAGTATCGTTTGTTTCTGAAATCTGACCCTTTGTCTTGCTGTACTTACAGAATGCTTTTGTGCAGCAAACTCATCGTGCTTCTTTAATAAAAACGGAACGAAACAATGCATTTGTGATGATGGATATATGACTGTAAATTGAATATGTACAGGTGATTAAAAGCTTTTATATTTCAGTAAGTTGTACTATTTTCAGTATGATGTGCTATAAATGAAAGGGGAAATCTTTATTACTCTGCTTCTCAATTTTAAAAACATAACATGCAAAAGATTCTTTGAAAATACGTTGTCTAGGGTTATCATGAAGTGAAAAAACGGTACTATTCTGTTTTGAGGATGGTAAAAAATTTGCAGCGAAAATGTATGCGCAAAAGCGCCAAATCTAGCAAACGCGCCCATTTAACTGCGCGCCAAATCTAGCGTACGCGCTGATTTCAAGTTGAGTAAGTTTATATAGTTCTATATTTCTTAAAACGCCATTGAAATACTAGTTTAATTAAATCCTTTTTTGATATCCTAATGATTTAACAATTCGGGAATTGCCCATGACGAAAAGTCTGCAGTGCAGAATCACTGCTTGACGCCTTTTTAAGACTTGCACATATTCGGTATCCATGTACACATCAACCTATTTTCACTTAAAAAAAAATCCCAGAATTGCACAAAAATCGCACTTCGCACAAAAATCGCACTTTTGATTTTATCTATGTACACATCAAAAATCCAATTGTTTTTACCCTTGTAAAAGGCGGCAGACAAATAAGTGGGCGAGGCTGCACTTTACCGAGAATTTTTTAAAAGAAAAGGCATCATTCATTATAGAAAATTACCTTTGAACAAACAACGAGAAGAAATTATGCTTTAGCGATATGTCGGTAGCGAAATAGCGATGCAGGCATCCATTCAGTTATGTTTAACAATCTGTATATAAATTATAATAATGATCTGAAATAGTTATTTACTCATATGCTTTTATTCAGTCATGTTTAGCATTTTATATAAATTATTGTAATAAAAAAGTATTATATGAAATTAACCTTTCATCTAAATTAAAACATCAATTTTAGATAGTTATTTACTATTATACTTCCTTTCTTGTAATCGGGTTGCTGCAATTATTTTTGGCAGCACTGGCATCAACAATAGTTTGGCGATTTTTTACAACCCTCAAAACCGAATAGTACCGAAAAAACAAGTGTATCAAGCACTTTCGTTTATTTAAAACTAACAATAATTTTCGAAATTTCATAAAATATTCTGTGTATTGTTTTTTGTTATTGTTGTTTTTTAATCAATGAAAGCATTGAGAATAGGTAAATAAAGTAAAAACAACTTATTTATGATTGGCATAAAATGAAACATATCTGGTTCAGGTAACTGGAATTGCGAATACCTTGTATGCTGATAACTGGAATTCTACTGCAGGTTTTTATGTAATACAACGTAGTACTTAGTAATATAATGTACTAATATGCGTCTAACATCGAATGTTACATCGAAATGTACTTATTTCATATTTTGTAAAACTTTTACGATACTTTTTGATAAACAAACTTTACGATCTTGTAAAGCGAAGCAGTAGCAACGCATTTACGGAAAAGTAAAGCATTTTTATCTCCAGTGCGCGAGACTGCCTATTAGAAATTCTAAAGATATGCTGTTTTTAAATATTTTGCGGTATTGCTATTGAATTCAATTTAATAGAAGTGGTTTAAGTGAGATGAACATGATAAAATTAATGTAATACACAGAATGTTAAACGAACCCTTCTTTGGGCGTAATAGAAAATTTGAAAGCTTTCAGATTTTTCGGTTTTATTATTCGTTCTGTTTTATTTCCTTAAGTTTATACCACTATATGATGCAGAAATAATTTTGCTTATATATATTTTTCTCTAAATCTAAATGCGCAATTTTTACAGAGAAAAATTACATTTTTATGATAGTACAATTAGGTTATTTCTCAGACTATTCTAAATGCTTTTGTCTTATAGAATGCTACTGTGGGTCCAATTCTACATGTTCTTTTGATCAGAACGGAGTAAAACAATGTATTTGTGATGATGGGTATAAAAGATTTAATGGAATATGCACAGGTAAATGCTTTACGAGTTTAATTTTACGGAACTAGTTTTAGATTTTTTTTTTTTTTTTGTATTCTTCTTTTCTCTTTCTTCTTTTTTATTTGTTTTGTTCTGTTTTCCTACGTGTGTGCCATAATATAACATAGAGGTAATTTTTCTTATTTGCACATTATTCTGTATCAAAATGTGCGAATTTTATCAAGTAAAATTGCTTTTAAGAAGTACATACATGCAGGTCAGTTCCCAACTTAAACTGCGTCAATAATTGTTTTATTTTTATAGAATGTTACTGTGGATCCAGTTCGACATGTGCTTTTGATGACAACGGAACAAAACAATGTATCTGTGATGATGGCTTCAAACATCTTAATGGATTATGCGAAGGTAATTATTTTACAAGTTCTAATAATTTTATGTGTTTATGTTTAAAATTTTGATCTATATCTTTTTTTTTTTTTTTTTTTTTCTGTTTCTTCTTTTTTATTTATTTATTATTTTTTTGTGTGTGTGCGTTCCTGGATCTATACTGACATGTGGTATAATTTCTCATTGTTTGCATATTTTTGTCTATCGAAATAGACAAATTTTATCGAACAATATTACTCATTTAACATAAGGATATGCATGTTACATTTCAGCTTAAAACTGTTTTATTAATGTTTTTGTTCTTGTAGAATGCAATTGTGGATCCAATTCTACATGTTCGTTTGATGATAACGGAGCAAAACAATGTATTTGTAATGAGAGATACAAAAGTTTTAATGGATCTTGCATAGGTATTTGTTTCATGTATTGTAATACTATTATGGTACTTTTTTCCGAATCTTTAATTTGTTAATTTTTATCCCTTTTGTTCCCTTCTTATTTTCTTGTCTTACTTGCTTTATTTTCCTACACTTACAACAAAATATGTTATATAAGTAGTTTTGCTTATTCACATATTTCTGTGCAACATAATGTAAAAATATTACCGAGCAAAATCACTTTTAAGATACGTATATATAACTTGATTACTAGTTTAAAAAATGTATCTTTAATGTTTTGTTCTTACAGAATGCTACTGTGGATCTAATTCTACATGTTCGTTTGATGAAAGCGGAGTAAAACGATGTATCTGCGACGATGACTACAAAAATCTTAATGGATTATGCGTAGGTACTTGATTTACGAGTTTTAGTAATTTTACGGGTTTATTTTCAGAGTCTTGATTTGTATTCGTCTTCTTCACTTTCTCCTTTTTCATTTGTTTGGTTTGGCTTTTCTACGTTTATACCAAAATATGATACATAGGTCCTCATTTGATACTTATGTCCATCGAAATGTGCGAATTTTATCGAGCAATATTACTCTTTTAAGTTAAGTTAGTTAGAAAGCAGGTTAATTTTTACCTTAAAACTGTATGATTAAAGTTTTTGTTCTTATAGAATGCAATTGTGGATCCAGCTCTACATGTTCTTTTGACGATAGGAGCTGCCAAGCTATGTATTTGTGACGAGGGCTACAAAAATCTTCATGAAATATGCGTAGATAAATGTTTTGAGAGTTATAATAATGTTACGGGATTATTATTAAAATCTTACGTTTATACCAAAATATGACATAAAGCTAATTATGTTTATTCATTTATTGCTGTGTATCGGAATGTACGAATTTAATAAACGAAATTACTTGGTATTAAAACAGGTGTGCATGAGTTGGTTTCCACTTCTAAAGACCACCTATAATATTTCTGTTCTTACAGAATGCTATTGTGGGTCCAATTCTACATGTTCTTTTGATGACAGAGGAGCAAAACAATGTATTTGTAATGATGGCTACACGAATAATAATGGAATGTGTGCAGGTAATTCTTTTATACTGTTTAAATTTTTAATAAATTATTTTAGCGCTTTGAGTTTTACACACTTTTGTCTTATTTTACGTTTTTGATTTAATATGACAGAGAGGGAATTAAGCTTTTTTACACGTTTCTACTTTTCTGCTTGTCTTTTTTTTTTTTTTTTTTTTTTTTTTTTTTTTTTTTGTAAACAGAATGGCAGTTTGCATAGAGATAATATCTTTCACTGTTCGATTCACGACCTTAGCAGAACGTATATTTTATGTATTTTCTCTTAGTAAGGAATTGCAGTATCATGTATCGCTGTTAAACTAAATATTTGAACATCGTTAAATTCGAATCACTACCGTATTTTTCAATTCCAAACTAATTTCTCGGAAGGCAAGGTATTGCTGCTTTCCTAAACACACGTTACTGCATTTTGAAATCACAAAACATTTGGGGGACGAATAAAAATGTCGCTGACACAGATTTTGCTGCATGGGAAAGAAGTGAATGATTTACAAACTAACTAGCTTTAATATTGTTTATTTCCTGCAAATTCAGGGCTGCGTTTCCAAACATACAATATCATAACTTTTGAAATATTTTAAAGATTACGTAAAATATCTACATAAAATGCAAAATAGAATGATCATACTTTTCTCTCAAATTTCTGTTGAATGAATCTTAGAACCATGGACATAACTGCTATGAAATACTTTCAGTTTAATTTTCAATTTAAGTTACATCATGATACAAAATATATTATTAGGAAAACTATCTTTCTTCATATGACAAAAATAATTAAAATACATGAACTTGGACTCTGTTCCTGTCAAATTTATTCATGCCACTCTTTAGAAGAGTCCTATGCAATTTAGAGACGGTAATATGCGGTATATTTACGGTAATATGCGCCTCTTTGGAATACAGAAGTTATTTCAGAAGTTGTCTAATATCATCTTTTATGAATTTACATTTACAGAATGCGACTGTGGACGTAATACAACGTGCTTCTTTGATGAAAATGGAGCTAAAGTATGCCTTTGTAGCGATGGCTATAGAGATGTTAACGGAAAGTGCATAGGTAACTGTTTTGAAGAATGATGATATGTTTTATTACTGTTAATTATAAAGGCCTTTTGCTTTTCATCTACACATTTATACAACAGCTTAAAGTAATTTTTATTTATCGTTTCGTCCAATTGTTTGAAAATTATATTATTAAGAGCTATTTTTCTTCAAAGGATGTTGCTAGCATTGTGTATGTAAATATCTTTACATCCTTTCCTTGTATGTTTATTTTTCTTCCTCACATTCCGTATATATTTTCTTTGATTTTCTGGAAGTTTCTCATGATACATAAATTTTCTTATTTTTAATAAGCTTTTATTTATCTGAGGTGAAGCAATTTATTTCATACTTCAAATTAGATTTCTTTAAATTTAACGTTGCATCAATCTTTGACACATATTTTCGTTTAAAGAATTAAGTCAAAAATCTTAACAATTTAACAATCTTTACATCATTGAATATATCGTAAAAAATATTTTAAATGAGGTTTATAGGAAAGTGTTAACATACTTTTTTAGTGAATTGACAAAATATTGTTTAAATGTTTGTAATATTTTTAATCCATTAACTTTAAAGATTTGACATTTAAATTTTAAAGCATTGTTTTCTTGCTATCGTGTAAATTTCGTTAAATGATTTTATTTACTCCATCCCATTGCTAGGAAGAATTACTTACAAAGAAATGAAGTTAATTATGGAAGTCTGTTGTCATTTTATAAATGCATATTTTCGCCTTTCTTTTTTATAACTAAGTTTAGCATTTATTATTAATTAGAGGTTTCTATCCCCAAAACGACATTTTTTAAGGATTGATTAGCATTTAAAATTATCTGCAATGAAATTTGCCAGGTTATTTTTAATTTTTTCCGTTTTATAAATTTATATACAATTTTCTAAAGATTTATATTTTGCAATCTGACTTTTTAGTCCAAAGGGATTTGAATCTCGAAGGACTATTAGTTTCGTTTTTGGCATTTTGCGTCGGACGGATAAATGTCGGTTCACTTTTCAAACTGTTGCCATAAAATGTTAGAGTCCTGCATTATATTTGAAGAAATTAAATAATGAAAATCTGCGTAAGTGTATGTATATTTCTCACATTGTCATAAAATAACGGTACATAGAGTCATCGAATTTTGAATAACGTAATCCTCCAACGAATATGAGCATGTGGAAGACCAAATTTGAAATTTGAAATTTTTTTTATGATCGATTTCCTATTTTTTAAAACTTTGACGAATTTTTGATTAACAAACTCAAGGATTTCAAAGCGAGCAATGGCAACGTTGTGCAGAAAAAACATTTTTATCTCCAGCGCGTGAGTCTTTGTATCGGAAATTCTAAAGATATGCTCGTTTTAAAACTATTTTGCGATATTGCTGTTGCACTGGATCTTATGGTATAAGTGCGAGGAACATGATATTAAATAAAGAAAGGTAACACACAAAATGTTAAAAAACGCCCCTTTGGAGTAATTTAAAATCTGAAACATTTCAGATTTTTTTTTTATTATTTTTTAATTTTATTGTGATGTAGTGTGCATTTCTTTTATCTATTAACTAAATGTGCAGGAACCTAGGGAACAGGTAAGCGAATAATAGCGTAAGTTCAGTAACAGAAACGTAAAACTCAAGAAGGGTTAATTACCCTTTATTGTTCAAACTAAAAGTGTACAGATGGTTCTTTCTTAGGACGTGCAACAAAGCCTCCACGTGGGCTTAAATTCAAAATTATAAGAAATAAGAACTTAACTAACGACTAACTAAAGAGAGTAGCTGGCAACTAAATATTGAATTAAATAGCGAAACTATCAAGGGGCCAAAATACGGCCGAGCGCAGTAACGGGTTAGAGAAACGTGCACAAAAGGCAAACAAGCGCTAGTCAGAAACTGATTCTCTCTCTCGAAGTCAGTGGAACTTTGACATAAATACTACTACTCCTCACCTTACAGTGAAACGTATATATTTTTGGGGGGATTTTTAAATTCTAACATCCACAAATGCATCCACTGTCAGGATTTGAAATTCTTACAAGTTACAAATCCAGTTTTCTCCCTCTTTTAAAACAAAAATTATTATAAAAATGGAGATTCAGCCGACGTCCTAGAATTTTTTTTGAACTAGCCGCTTGCGGGGACAGCCAAGAGCCTGGCACATGTAAGTTGCCTGACAGAATGTGTGCCAGAGTTGCCAATGAAATACTTAATAACAAAGGACAATCAGCATCAGTCGAAAAATCATATTACAAGTAGAGTTAACTACAGTCAGAAGATACTGGAATATGCAAGAAAAATAAACGTTAACAAAGCATATCCAATCAGACTACCAGACAGCCTTACAAGAACACACAACGCAATTTTTCGATAGTGAACAGAATTCAAAAAATAGTAATAATAAGATGCAAACAACAGTTCATTGATATCTCACAGATCAAAGGACATTAAGGAAATGATGGAATGGAATAAACGTATAAACGTTCAATGAAAAGAAACACAACAAGAATAAACCGCGACAAACTACCAATCATAACATGGTCAAGTAGTCATCTCACAACCAATCTGTAACAAATAGCAACGACTTTATTGCAACAGGAATGGAATGTTATACAAAGTGGAAGAACGACATTTAACATCCTTCCAGATTTCATAATAGACATGCTGCGTGATTCAGAATTCATCATCAATATTTGGTGGTGAGGTAGGGAATAGGAAAAGAAGGAGATTTCACATAGGAAAGTATGGGCGCAGACGAACGCATGGTGGTGTAGAGGGTGCTGTGTGTACAACAACTTCCATACATAAGCGTAGCTGTTTGACGTGTGCAGCCAGTCGTCATTCGCCTAGGTGACTTTGCTGAAGTAACATGAACGGTATATGTGGAATGAACTTGCACATATACATGTAAATGCCAGGCATATTCCGGAAGTTCCGGTTGTCCATGCAACCCGTTGTGAGTCATGCATTCTAGCATATGGTCAGCAGTTCGAGCACCTCTTGTAAGTCTGTAAAACCGATGCAAAGAAATGTTACATGTAAGATAATAAATGTTTTTTCCTTATTACTTCCATTTTGTGTGTTCTTTCCATCACTGAACTGGGGTCATTTTGCCCTACTACACAGCATATGCGCCCATGCATTCCTTCGTGAAATCCCCTTCTTTTCCTATCCCCTACCTCTCTACCAAATATTGATGATGAATTCTGCATCATCCTGTATACAGCTCCTTCACAAATGTACTGGATTCTATCAGGCTATGGTCTATTGTGTTTACTAAGATTATTTAGCAGATTTAATTCGCAGATATTTGCATCCACTGTGAATTAGGAGACGGTCCGATATTAACCATACAAATGGCCAGCAACAAAAAATTACACATACCTCATCCATTACAAATAACTCCAAAATAAAGTGTGGATAATAATTTAATCACAAATAAGTCCAAAAGAAAGTCTTAATCATACAAAAAGAAAGAACGCAAAAGAAATATCATCAAAATTTCGAATATAATAGAAAACATTGACACAAATTTTTGTCATCCCTGTTCAAGTGTTCTTTCCAATTTCTTTTACTCTTTTCTTTCTTTTACCCTTTCAAATTTACTTTCTTTCATGAAATCCCAAAATATCAAAAGTATTTAAAAAATTGTAGAGTTACATGCTTTGTATGACTACAGAATGCTACTGTGGAGAAAATGCAACGTGTTTTTTCAACGACTACGGAACCAAGAAATGCATTTGTGATGAAGACCATATGGAAGTCAATGGAAAATGCATAGGTAAATATTTTATTGGTACATTTATATTGCTAAAACCTTTCGTGTTTTCAAATTTAATCTTAGAAAATTGATTTTTTTCAAGTTGAATTGCTCTTATGATTAAAAGAATTGCTATTAAGATTTTTAAACCCAGTTTTCAAAAAGGCAGCAAACTTTAATGCCTTTATTAATTACAAATACAAAGTTTCTTCTTTTAACTTAATTACTTAATGCCCATATGATATTAAATGAATTTTAGTTAATTGTAATTAAAAAATGCTAGTATACTGGCAGTAATTTATGCAGCAAAAAAAGGCTTTAAAAGGGAACAAACGTAAGGTGACCCAAAGGAATATTATAATTATTAGATGAGAAGAAATGTTTGAGAAACGCTGTTCTAAGGGAAAATGGCTGTCCGAAGATTTTTAGATGATTTTGGTTTGATATTAAAAACTCGCCTGATTTGAAATTCATTTTTTAATTGCAGCTATATTTCTAGAGGTATAAATACTCGTCTGATAGTTGGCAGTTTTGTTTTCATTCAAAATGGCGCTTTTAAAGAAGCAATAGATGGAAGGCTATGTTTGTGCTCGTTCCAAAGACAATTATTCATATCTAGTTATTAAAAAACGTATTAAAAGCCATTGTGTTTCGATGTCTGAAGCTACGATAGGTAGTATTGCCAACAAGAAAGGGAAAACGAACGTAAAAATTTGGTTTCAAGTGGAAAAATTGTTCCAAGTACATATCCAAGGGTATCCGAACAAAAATGAAAACATGTTGCCACAACAGGTGAATCTTAGGTTTATTTAAATAACTGAAAAAAAAAAAAAAAAAAAAAAAAGATTCATTCATTATCTAACATCAAAGGTATACTTTTGGGAGCAGAAGAAGTGAAAAGTGAGCAAGCCTTCGCCGGGAATCGTACACGCGGACTTTTGGAATACGCGTCTAGCGTGCAGACCACCACGCCACGTTGGCATGGCAAGAATATGAGAGAAATACCCCCTTATATACTTCCCCTTTTAAAGGGCGGCTGTGATTTTTAGAGGACCCCAATCGCCGAATCCTGGGTGAGGAGAATCATCAACACAACACCATTTTACCTTGGCGCTACTGTAGAGATATTAGGTATATTTTTTGGAAAGCAGAAAAGTGAAAAAATGAGCAAGCTTCGTCGGTATCAAAACCGCGGACTTCTGGGATACGCGCCCAGCGTGCAGACCACCACACCGCGAAGGCATGCCAAGAAAGAGGGGAAATACCTTATAGCCTTTTTGAAAGTCCAAAAGCGCAAACACCCACGGGTCATACATCAAGAGATTTAGCTGGGGATCTGAGGGAAGGGTATAAATTTAATACCGTTTCTTGCTCCATTTTTTCTAGGAAATTAGAAGTGGACTTTGACGTGGGGCTACTTGCTAAAAGGGAGGAAAGAATTTTAAAACATGGCTAAAAGAATCTAAAGTTTTTCAATGGGTATTTTTTAATTTTTTGTTGGTTTTTATATAACGGCAAACTAAAAATAAAGACAGGGAGGCATATCTTAAGATCAACTCCACATATTATCAGGAACATATTTCGTACCCAGTTTTCAAATCCGAAAGACCTACTCTTCACAAACAGATCCATCAATCAGTAGAACTGCATCAAGACGAAGCAAGTAGCCCCACGTTAAAATCCACTTCTAATTTCCTAGAAAAAAATGGAGCAAGAAACGGTATTAAATTTATACCCTTCCCTCAGATCCCCAGCTAAATCTCTTGATGTATCACCCATGGGTGTTTGCGCTTTTGGACTTTCAAAAAGGCTATAAGGTATTTCCCCTCTTTCTTGGCATGCCTTCGCGGTGTGGTGGTCTGCACGCTGGGCGCGTATCCCAGAAGTCCGCGGTTTGATACCCGACGAAGGCTTGCTCATTTTTCACTTTTTCTGCTTCCAAAAAATATACCTAATATCTCTACAGTAGCGCCCAAGGTAAAATGGTGTTGGTTGATGATTCTCCTCACCCAGGATTCGGCGATTGGGGTCCTCTAAAAATCCACAGCCGCCCTTTAAAAGGGGAAGTATATAAGGGGATATTTCTCTCACATTCTTGGCATGCCAACGTGGCGTGGTGGTCTGCACGCTGGACGCGTATTCCAAAAGTCCGCGTGTACGATTCCCGGCGAAGGCTTGCTCACTTTTCACTTCTTCTGCTCCCAAAAAATATACCTAATGGCTCTACAAAGAGAATGACCAAGCGTCATCCTGTTACGCTCCTTGGACTTTGGAAAGGTGTTCAGGAGGAATGGGATGAAAAACCTCTTCCGATAATGCAAAAGTCATTATTGTCTTGGAAATCATGGTGTAGAAAGATCGGGAAGAGTTATCAGACAGAACATTTAAAAACACCAATTTTAGGAAAAATATATCTGTAAATACAGTGAAAATCGTCTAAAATGTGTACAAAGCCTCTGTATTATTTTAGGCATGTTTTTTTAGGCATCTTGAAACCTTCTACGCAGCCACACAGTTTTTGAAACTTGAACAAAGGCAAACAGTGATCAGCAGTCTTTCTCACATAACCACCCGACAAAATTCGCGTGTGTCTAACTGATATTTCGCATTATTTTGGGTAATTTTCTGGAAAACTTTATGAAAAATTTATAACGAACAATTCCAGTTATTTATAGTTTTTTATATTTACTTATTATTTCTTTAAGCTTTAAATGTTTGATATTTTTCATTTCGATGCTGTGACGTTTCCTTGGTATAGAACTGTCTTTAGTTGTAAAATATGCTTTCTTTTAGTTTTAGATTCATGTGAACTGAAACTATGCAAGAATGGAGGAACCTGCGTTGTTAAAGGAGGCAAAACTGCTTGTCATTGTCAAAGGGCTTACACTGGAGATAAATGCGAAACAGGTAATTTACAAATTTAATTTTGCACTCAGCAGCTTTTTGATCAACAGTAGATTAACACAACTGTAGTTCAACAGTTGATTTAAAGTCAGAAATTATGTGGGATTTTTCGACTACACAAAACAATAGCAGTTTATGCCCATCCTCTTCTGAATGTGCAACATGTAGTAGAATGAAAGGGAATTTCAGTTCCGTCTTACATAAAATATAAGACCTAAATTTTCAAATTATTTATGATTCAAGGCTATCGTACAAGTCATTAAATATATTTGTACTGCATTTCCGCTGCTTTTGGACAATAGGTTTGTGTAAGAACTCTAAGAATAAACTCTTCCTTTAGCTCCCATCTTCGAAGATGTTTCGAAGTGAGAAATTTTCTACTTGCGTCTTGCCAATATTTTCAAAACTCATACGATCATGGTGTTATCAATCAAGCTTACGAACCCGAGTCCAGCGCAAGTAAAAATAATTTTTCCACTCAAAATTATAAATATTTGTCACAAGATATAATGACAACTTCTTAAAATTTGCATTTATATTTACAACGAAAATGAGCAATTTGTTCCTAAGTAAATGGTTGTAAATTGTCAAAAAGTGCTGTGGTTCCTAGTAAGTTCAAATGTCACTTGCTCATAAGTGATCCTCAGCTTGCATCAGAAAACAAAAGCTATTTTCAGAAAATAGTTTAAGCTCTAAGGATGAATTGTTGGAATTTAAAAGAAATTACCTTCTTATAGAAGAAAAGAAATTACTTAATTTTACCTTTTAAAATAAAGTACCTTATTTTACCTTTTTAAAGAAAATACCTTATTGTACAAAATAAATCATAAGAAAGTACTTTAGAAACGTTTCAGACACTTCCAAAAAGCTGTCATAAAATAATTCATAAAATAGCTATTGAGCATTTGACAATAAAAAGCGAATATCTGCGCATTACCTTACAAATTAAAAATTAAAAATTTTGATTGGGCCAAATTATAATGAACGACTCGTGGGTGAGAATCAATTAAATTTGAAATAAAAGGAGGAAACTAATTTTGGTGTGAAACACCGAAGTAATTTCAAAACATTCAGAAAATTAAATTAATGCGTTTAGTATCAATCTTAAGTACGATTCACCGAAAAAAATCACAAAGAGATTTAAGTGATTTATTACAGTTTTCCGCATCTATATGCGTGAATTTAGACTTTAGGCTTTGACTAACATAAAAGCGAAAATACTGATCCAGACGTTTAAATCTAGATCACGAAATATTATTAATTTTTTGTCCAAATACAAACGAGGTTCTCAAAAACACTACTCTCAAATTTCGCGTTAAATGAAATAATTGCATTAAAGATTATTTCTAATTGACTGTTAAATAAACATTTTGTTTACATATATTTCATTAAAAATTATTATCGTATGCTATGTATGCAAAATTTACTTTAAGTACATAAGTCAATTAACAAAGAAAAATTCTTTTAAATCTATTTTATTGTTGATGTATGGCCAAATTTTTAATTTATTAGCAGTGCACCGTTACGAAAAAAAGGGTTGAGAACCACTAAGGATTTATTAAATGAATTTCATATCTTTTCAGCTTTCCTTAAAACATCAATCTGATTTTTCGTTTTGGTTAGTTGAAAATTATCTTTTTACATGCAGTTAGTTGAATTGTTATACTGTTTACAGGAATATGCCTTCAAAAGTTGAAGAAAAATTTAATTCCTAATAATTACAAAATAAAAATTATAGGTATCAAAAATACATGACAAAAGCAGGTTTATGTCGAGGCATGCATCTGAAATTGAAGTGGAGGAAAACGATATTGTCCCGAATTTTGTATTCAGTTAGATATTTTTATTAGAATTATAATTAAAATTGTTTTATTTCTCCCTGCAATGCAGTACGAGACATATTTTACGAGATTAAATTATTTAAATAGATATTTAAATTTAGATTTAAATTGAATTAATGTAATTGAATCTATGTTAGCTGTAACCGTAATGCCACACTCGTTTTCTTTCCAGAAATCTCGAGAAGCGGAATTTAGTAGAAATATTTCGCGCCGCCAGTTGTTGTTTTAGAAGTGGCTGTAAATTTAATGTCGAAGAATCGAAATAAAAAAGCTATAAAAGCCAGAGCGAGGGCATCTCAACTCAGTTGCTTAGTTACTGTTTTACGAGATATTTAGTTAGCTGCTGTTGTTCAGGGTGAGAACGGATTACCTTTCTCATTGCATTGCGTTGTATTTTAACGTTTTTATTAGTTTGGAGTATAACTAGTGATTATATTGCGTGCACTTGAACGAATATCTCTGAAGAAAATTCTAGCGTTCTGTTATATTTCTTTTGATGAGAATAAATTTTATTAATCTTTTATCGGACTTGTGCATTCAATCTTTTACGAACCCGTATGCATGCAACAACATATTTGCATGTTTGAGAGTACATTTCAGTTCAAATGCTTTTCAGTTCTTAAGAGAAACTTCAAATTATCGAATTTTGAAATATCATTTTTATGGATTTCACTAGTAGACGATTTTTATTAGTGATTTTCATTCATTGATGATTAGTAGATTCATTGGTGATTTAGGTCAGACAACAGGAACAGCCATTCTGTTGGACCGTGTCTTTCTATTCCTTTGTATGTTCAAGTCCGTTGTGAAAAATATTGAGGTATATAGTCTACCACTGATAGTACATCCAAAGAATATGTATTGTTAAGAAGGAAAACTTCGCAGCAGCAGTAGTGGCTCCCTTCGAACGAAATGGGAAACAGCTGCGCATGCGTGAAATATGTCGCCAAAAAGCGGCAAAGCTCGAAGCTGATGTCGAAGGCTTATTCACAAAGCCTACAGACCGTTTCTTCTGCTGTTTGCTCCGATTGGTTAAAAGAGGTAGGGTTACAGAATCTAGTCTTGGCGACTTTTGGTTCATCGCCTTTACAATTTGTATCTGAGCGTCCTGTACCAAAAAGTGAGCATAACCCACCGGAGAAATTGCAGCCCAGTGGTAACGAGAGCGGGAATAATTCTCAGAACTTCTAGGTTGCTGGTTCTATATCCCCGCTCGTAGCTTTCATAAACTCTGCTCTATACGAATTTATTTTTATTTTAACTTCATTGAATGACTTTGTCATTATTTGTCTTTTCACCTTCGGGTACGGTGTTAAAAATTAAATCGCCTTTATTTTGTCTATTTTTGTTAATGTTAATTTTTCTTTTTTTATTTACTGGTTTGTACTCTTTGTAGTAGGTACCAGTAAGCAAGATTACGATCCAGACCCGAAAAGCGTTTCAATAGATATAGCGCATAATGGAATAAAATATAATTTTAGTTATCTTACTCGTAAAAAGAATAGGTATCCGACACCGTTAAATGTTTACTGAATGTTTTCATTAGGTTAATTTTTTAATATTCCATTATTTGTATAAATTAATGCGCTATAGAAATTTACACAACAGACTCTTTCCTAACAGAAATGACGAAAAAGTGCATATGCTATCTTCATATAAACACCTTTTTCTTATAAAACAATTACGTACTTTTAAAAGGTTTAAATTCAAATACAAATAAACTATTAATAAAATCAGTAGGTTATTTAAAGATATATTCCCCACAATTCCTCTAAGCTTTCATTCATAAACTAAAAAAATATCGAATGAAATAAACCCTGTTTCCGTTTGTTTGGCGTTAATTACCACTCCTACAGGGCGATAACTCTCCATTACAAATATGACCGCCAAAGCAGATTGTTGAAATTATTTCTTTCTCCAATGAGAGCAGCCCGTAGCGAAATTGTCTGTAGGCTTTGTGAATATGCATGTCGAAGTTCGAACAGGTTCGACGGTCACGATTATCAAGAGTTTAAAGCTGTGTGACTCCATTTTTCTTTCCTCCATTTTGATAATATAAAATCAGACATCAAACTGCGATATGAATAATGCAAGTGAAAGTGAAATTTCACCTAATTTTCTTATTCATCTTAACCCGTATTTCCTGTATACGTCGCGGAGGAAGAAAATCTCGGCCAGGTACGGTACATCACAGAAGGGGAAATTCTCGCCAACAGGTTCCGTCGCCAAATCCCTTGGCGAATTTTCCCTCTTCTTTCTAGCGGCGCAGAAGACAAACTGGTTTACATTACGTATATGGAGCCTTTCCTTCTAGACGTTCTTTGGTAGAGCTTCGGTTTGTAATGCGCCAGAGAAGTTTGATTCTCATTAAACACTGACATTCTTCCTTAATTACTTCCTCAAACAATTATGGTCCTTTATTTGGACTTTTCAATTGCTTGTGGGCTAGGTAATATTTGGAAAAAAAGAGTAATTGCAGCGATATCTTACTGAAACACAAAATAAATTGATGCATCTTGGTAATCCTGTTTACCCTTTTCGGCAAATGGATTGTGGTTTCGCTCATGTGCAGAAGAATCGCCATGAGTTTAACCATTTCGCCGTCCTTTCCTGTCTGCGAAAATTTTCTCCCAGCGACCGTCTGTTTTTCGTAGCGTGTAATATTGTTTTCTCTGTACATCAGAACTATCCATACATGCCTTTCGTAGTGGATGAATATCAATGAATATTAAGTAAAATTATAAGGAAATAAAGCATAATGGAAAAATAATATCTCTGCTTGTTTCTAACAGCAGGATAATTTGATAACATCTGATCCAGGCGGTCCACTTGAACGAGCTTGAGAATGTTTGATGCGCTTACGGCCGCCCTGCGGAAGTTTCACTTGAACGCGCTAGACGCGTTACGGACGACGAAGAGGTTAACGTAGGGGGATAGTGCATGTTCTTAGATGCACTGACAATGAATATTATATTTTATTTTGAAATTGAACCTAATGCTGTAATTAATCTTTATCTTCTTTTGTAATCATATTGCTTTAAATATCCTATATAAATACATTTGCGGTTTTCAAGGGGGCATAAACTTAAATTTTCTCTGCTTTTGCCCTTGCAGAATGCTATTGTGGACTGAATACAACATGCTTCTTTGATGAAAACGGAACAAAGAAATGCAAATGTCAGTACGGCTTCACGGATGTTAATGGAAAATGCATAGGTAACTATTTGATAAAATACTTTCACAAAGTTTACAATTCTGTGCAAATTTTAGCACGAAATCCACGTTCCTTTCTTCTGCATTAGTATACAAGTTTAAATTGAAAATTTATATTTCTCTTTACGGACGATTTTAATTTTCGGCGTTATAAAAAGTTTACTTATGTACAACTATTATATTTCTTTGAACGTCTACCAACATTCTTCTTTTTCTAATATAAAACATATAGCATTGATGTAAATAGCTACATTCCTCCTTTTTTATATATGACATATGAAAGTTCCACATACATTTCTTTAAGAAATCGGAAACTACATTCTGCACGTTTGTGTAATTACAGAATGCTCCTGTGGAGGAAATTCAACGTGTTTCTTCGATGAATATGGAACAAGGAAATGTGTATGCGAAGACGGCTACATAAATGTTAATGAAAAATGCACAGGTGACCATTTATCTATATAATATACACAATTCTAAATCTACTAAACTTTTACAAGGTAATCAATGATATATACGTATGTTAATTAGATATTTTAACGTAATTACGTTGTCTTTAGAGTAACCAATGTTAAGTAACCCGTTCCCTTTTCTCTTCACATGATTAATATCCATAAATTATTTGCTTTATAAATCCTTGCTGTGTTTCTTAAACTTTTACCTTCATATGTTGCTGGGAATTATATAAGCGAGATGTGTACTCTTTATTAAGTAGATAAAACTGTAGATAGAATGTTACAATGAGAATGAAGTAAACCAGTACTTGGTGCATTCTCCCAGTTAATGCTGAAAATTTCCAGTAAACCACGTGATGTAAGTGTAAGGTGAACATGTTGGTAAGAGACTGCAAGCAATTTTTGTTTCAATCCCAGTTTACAAAAATGAAACAGCGTCAGAAGTTTTCAAGTGTCACACAAATTTAGAAGTACTGAGGAAAAACTTATATACCGTTGATGATTTGTTAAGCAAGTAAAATTTGAAGCAACATTTTATTTTAGATGAAACACGCTAAGAAAATGTCAACTTTAATCAATGGGATATTTTCTTATGTAACACAATAAAAAATAAAATAATGATTCAATTTTCGATTATTCTTCATATCACACTCTCTAATTCATTTTCAATATGTTGTTTGTGTATTTGCTAACTTTAAAGATGGTAATAGTAATGAAAACTTAACTAAACTTCTTTCATTTTATTCTTCTGAATTCTAGGCATCAGTTTTACTCCAGCTTTTCACGTAGTCACCCGCAATGAAATTAGTTTCGGGACCACTGTACATCGTTAACCTTTATTACCCTTTATCAGTTTGCTTCCTTTCACATTTCTTATATTTCGTTTCGCTAATAAAAGTACATCTGACTTTTATCAATTCAGCGTTTTTGCTTGTTATTTACAAACTTTCATTTCTTCGACAAATCACCGCTTAGTCATAACATGTACAGTATAAAGTCCATAATCCGGACGTCTTATCCGGAATGATCTATAATCCGGACCTCAAAGCCACAAACGTTTTTTTGTATGCTTTACGCATGCGCGTAAAAAATGAGTGCGCATACATAATGCGCATTAACATGTGCGCGTTGAAAGAAATGTCTAATAAAGTAAACAAATAAATATTAACCATTTTTTTCGTAAAATTTGATACCCTTTACATCATAATTGCTCTTTATTTCATAAATTACGGTTACATATTTTTAATCGTATAATTTCTGCATGCCATCTTATCAGATTTAAATTGATGATCTATAATCCGGAAAAACCTCTAATCCGGAATCGCCGAAATCCCGACGAGTCCGGATTACGGAATTTGTACTGTACTTTTTTAAACTGAAGGACTTAAGGCACCAAAAATCAACATAATAGTAATAAGTTTGCAGGACTAATTTCAAAGTATTAAATATAAAGCATTCTTCTTCAGCTGAAAAAGAAAGTTCTACATTTAGCCGTTCGAAATTTATAAATAATGAGAGACCTAATTTCATGAGAAAAGGTACCGTCTTACCGGTATTGTCTACAGTCTTGCAACAAGGAGTCGCTTATCAAGGAGTGAAATCAATGTCATTCTTCAGGAATTGCTACCGAGGAAAAATTTAATTATACAGACAATAATTATATTACAGTTCCAATGTATTGGATTCAAAACATTACACAATTGTTCTCAGGTATTAATACGAAATGCCCTAAGAATAAATCATAATCTTCAAGCTAGTCAAAATTCCTCGATTCCATATTAAATCGCAACCAAAAGGCCATTGTCAGATAATCGTGCCGTTGCAAGGTGTGAGATGATATACTATGACATTAACAGAAGTAATAACGTGTACAAACGGGGTTTTTTTCACTTGACATTACAAAGGCCTGTAGTCAAGTGAAATGCCAAGTGACATTTCACTTGACATTACAAACTTCAAGACCAATTTCAGAAAATTTTAGCGAATTACTCTGTCATCTACAACCAATAATTCTGCAGCTCCTATGACACCGTGTTTAATTGTTATTAATTAGGGGACGTTAAAATGAAAATTGAAAGGACATGACTAATTCATCCTACAAAATGTTCTAGACCAGTGGTCGTCAGCCCTTAGAACTTCACGGACCACTACATATATAATTTTATATATTTCGGACCACTACATATATAATTTTATATATTTCGGACCACTAACATTAATTAAAAAATTCTTAAATCATACCTTAGAAACAAGATATTAATACGCAAAAACACAATATTCAACTTTCCAATATATGTAATTCTAATTTTCAATAGTTAATATAATTTTCGGAACATTTGGTATTCAGCAGCATGCCTTTATGGAAATTTAGGCTACGCCCCTGATTATAAGTAACAATTGAAACAATACTAACATCTGACTGATACACATATTTCATTCATATTAAAAATTATATGAAAAGTACAAAAATCGTACCTTCTTGTACAGAAAATTTCATAGTTCCATATCACTGAAAAGAACTTCAGGAAAAGCAAGAACAAACCGGCAATATCAATAAATTGAAAGTGTTATGCCGCCAATTCTTAATTATTGCAAACATAATAATCATCGCTTACTCAGCGATGGTGCCATCGATCAGCATTTCGATAAAACAAAAACGAAATTTCTAGTGATGCAAATATAAACAAGAATGCAGATGGTTTCTCATAAAAGTCCATCAAGTTGCCTATTGACACGGAGAAAAACTGTGTGATTAACGAATACAATAGTATATGTTTGTAATTCAAAAGAAAAGGGAATTCCAGCTCGCGCCGTTATTTATCACACCAGCATATCCATAGATGCCAACTCTCACTTTCAAATGTCGTTAGATACACCTGCAAAAGTAGCTAAACATTCGATAAAATCAGAAGGAATTCCGCTAAAATTAGTAGCTAAAATTAAAAACAAAAGTATAATCCATATTCCATAATAGGTTTTGTTACTCGTCATTTTTAAAACTGAATCTTCATAAAAATATAAATAATGCCCCAAATTTTCTGAGGACCATCAAAAAGTTTTCACACACCACCAGTGGTCCGTGGACCACTGGTTGACGATCGGTGTTATAAAATCTCTAGTAAGGACCTCACATAATGAGAACAATAGCTATGCTTACCTTGAAGGCTATATAAATAACTGTTTCGATACATTGAAAGGACATCAAATATTAATTATCAATTTTTGTTGATATTGTTAATAGTGTTATCAGGGTATTGTTAGCAGTGCTTATCGTAGATTTATAATACCTATGTGCTCAGTTAAATGGGCAATTAAATATGCAACCGACGCAAACCGCAACCAAACTACCAGTCACCAAAGGTCGCCCTAAAGTTTTCTCGGTTCGTCAGTTTTGTTCCCCATTATCTTTCATATTAAAGACATCAAAAGTCGTGAAATGTTGCATGTAAATTATGACATTGTTCTCTTGAGTTTACCAAAAGACAAAAGTGACTAATATATGGCATGAATATGATTTTTATTAGTCCCAAATAAAACCATAGTTTCAAGGAATGGTCTGTTCTATGCATAAAAGCTCTCTTCAGTTTGAGGAATTTCAAAACAATTTGAAATTAAGCCATGCCCATGACTTCGCGGTTTTAAAGCATTATTCGGATGAATTCTTATTCTGTTATTAAAATTTACTACAGCCTACTTACAAAAAGAGGTTAGAGCCATTGACTACCACACTTTCACCAAGAATAATGCGTCTAAAGTTCTTTCGCAAAGATTACATTTTGGACCTGACTAAGAATTTCTATGACTTTATTACTTGTAGTCAGTCTAATGATCTTTGTTGTTTGTTGTCTATGACTGGAGATTAAAACTTGACACACGAATTGTATACGGCAGTCACATTTATTGGCTTATTTATTGAAACTGGGATCAACACCATATTCCCTGAAAATCTTAACGTTTTTTATTAGTCAAATAAAACATTTTGATATATTTCAATAATGCAAATTTTATTTCCTGGCTCTGAAATTATCTGGAGTTGTCGTACTTGTCTAGCTGGTTATGTTTCCGAAGCTTTGTTAGTGAGGTTCATCCATTACTATTAGCCAAACATAAAGTTCGTGTCCACCAACTTGTGTTCATGAAACGATTCGCGTCCTTTTTACGACATCACAAATATTAATGAAGACGTCCAAGATTCCGACATGAAGCTCTGGCGTAACAGGAACCACTTATTAGTTTCAAGTCCTGCATTCCCGTAGGAGTATGTTCCATGTCCCTGTTCTGTATCTCCTCAAAAGTTTATACATGGAGTTTTCAAACACTTTATTTAGTGTAGCACGTAATTGTGTGCATATTGGCGCGTAAAATTAATTTTCAGTGTTTTTCATCTTGACTTATAATAATCATCTATTTTCAGCTATATGCAATCCTAATCCTTGCGTGCACGGTGTATGCAAAATGATTGACGAACAAGGATTTTCATGCAGGTAATGTACAAAAAAAATTGGATTTTGCTTTATTTGTCAAGTTAATTAGTATTAAAACAGCTTACTTTGTGCTCTCTAGAATGCGGTGGATTCAGTGGGAGATAGCCTACCAGGTAATGGAACCCTCCTGCTTCATCTGTATATTTCACAGACGTGTCTGAATGCGTGTCGTTCAGTGTCAAAGCAAAAGTTAAGAAAATCAAATAATACAATGTCTTTGTTTAAGACATTTTCTTTTGTAAGGAATTACTTTTTAAGGTCTATTGCAATATACATAATGCAACATACTCTCAAAATCCATACACCTTACAAAATGATCAGAAATTTACTTTTTGCTCTCTAAAAAGCTCTCTAGAAAGCTCTAATTTGTGCTCTCATTTCTGATAAATCAGAAGTGCATTTCATAAAACAACACGAATATACAAGTATATTTAGTAGTCAAATTTGCTTGTTCATTATACAATTGTTTTACGTCAGTTTAGAAAGTCTTCCTTTCATGGCTTCCTATTTAACGGCGCCACTGTACCGATTCTAATTGTTTTATCGGGTGTCTTAAGATTCAAGGCTTCTTGGAAGCCAAGCGAGCAGTGGCGGGCGGTTGTTTATCTTTGTTCTGCTATTGCAAAATCTAGATTCTATTCGAGCGATTGAGAAAGTTTTTCTTATCAATTGCATTTAAAAGCAATCCTAAGTAAACCCGTGCCTCATCTTTTTGGAGCACAACACGATGCAGGAATATAGCGATGTGCAGCTTATAGGATAAGCTAGTAATTGAATTGGAAGAGTTAAAAAGAGCCTAGGCTATGTAACAAAAGTCAAATTTTACAGGAGCAATAAAACTTATTTATCCATTTCCTCACAAGATTGTAAAAAGACGTTCGAAAAACGCTGAATTACATGGATCCTGATTACATCGATCTCAAAAAATGTTGTTGTTGGCTTCTGGCATTCGTTTGAGGAAAGGGATAGATTTTTTTGCTGCTTCTGTAAAATTTAACTTTTGTTACACAGCACTTTTTTACACATTCCGATTGAATAGAGAATTTCAAGATAAGTAAGGTGAGTAAGGAAACCAATAAAAACGTGAAGCGAATAAAATGAAAAACTAAATTTCACACACGATTATACGATAGGAATCAGTAATATTACTATAATACAAGGTTTGCTCTTCCAAGAAAAAATATACTGCCATTTTGTAAGTAGGAACTATTCCCTACTGCATTTCGTGCCCCTTTCTATCATTTCTGTAGGTCAAGTGATATTATTGAATTCGGACTTTGGAAAGAATCTGATCGTTAAGTCTAATGACTTTCGTTACGAGTGGGAGACGTGGCATAATTACGCTCGCTTATACGAGCTGTACGGATTTTAAGAGCAGAGGGTGATTATGTTAAGAGAGACCTTTTTATTTATGTTACCGTAATTTTTTACTACGAGAATGGAAACAATGATCTTAGTGACTGATTTTCTGGTGTAGGCTTGCTAACTGCTCTTTTTTGGATAATGCATTGGGTTTATGAGTAATTACTTGCGTTAAATTATCATTAGGTAATTTGAAGAAGTTTTTAAGGAAGTTTTGGTACAACATTAAGTTTATTATTTTAGACATCTTTAGTTAACCTTTTTGCTAAATAAGGAGCTAAATTACACTTTAACTGAAATGTTCTAAAATTAATGTGGAAAGTTATTGTTGTATTTAAGTTGATATTATGATCCTTAATATCAACTTAAATACAACAAATACAAATACAAGTGATAAAAATATCGCAGATCAGTTTAGAGATGTGTGATTACAGTTTTATTTGCTGATGTGTGTCATAAAATTAATTTGACAACTGCTGATAAAATTATATTTAGAAAGATTCTTAGTATTATTACGAAAGTACAGCAAAAATATGGGAACCTATATATTAAAAATATTTAAAGAATATATATCACAAATGTGTCAGAAAATGGATATGAATATATTTGCCCTAACAGAAGCAACAAAGCCTTCCTATTTTAAAATTATTGAAAAGAAGAGTAATTCTCTAACAAAACTTCGAAATGTATTCGAGGAAAGGGAAGGCAGAGGGTGATTATGTTGCCCGAACAACATGTGGAAAACAAAAGTGCTACTTCTGAAGATTTAAAGCAACATTTTAAAAGTAATATTAATCCGCCACCACTAAAGAGCCAAATTAAAAATATATATTTCATATAGTTTTTAGTGTTTAGATGTTTAAAAGACGATTTTAAGGAGAATATAATAATATGGAAGCAAAATCTAGACATTTTAAGCATTTGAGTTTTCTCGGAAGCATAACAATTAGAAGGTCATCGTTCTACTGAAAGCGATTTTCAGTCAGATTACTTTTAGTGATAATAAAACTACAAATGAAAAAAAATATATTCAGGTAATTATTTTCAATTAAAGTCTTAATTTCTTAGTAAACAGACTCGGATACCGACGAGAATATAAATAACTTATGCCAGGATAATAATAGATCTTTGTACCATCTGTACGATGTCCAATGTCATAGCTTAGTTTCATAAAGTTCGATATATTGTTTAAAAGCTATCATTTTATGTTTTATTTAATATTTTAGCAAATTGTCTACTTAAAACATGTAGCTGAAACTACTTAAAATATTAGTATATATATATATATATATATATATATTAACTGGTTTTTGATTTTACTTTGAATTGGAAAATTTGCGTCCTTAATTTTACTGTAAATATTCCGTATTATAGCTTAATTTGCTTATGATGTCACATTTATATATTCAGTTTATATATTTATATATTCAGGCGGCAAATCAGGAGCTAGGAGTTCCCAGCGCAAGCACAGAATAAGCAATTTTAACTTTACAGTTTACGCATCTGTTTCTCAATTTGTTAGGGATTAATTTCTGAATTTATATTTCGTGGAGAAATATTTGTCAGTGCCGGTGTAGTGTTCGGTCCGCCGGCCAACGTTCAGAATAGTATGCGGTCACAGGTAAATGTATAAAATACGTTAGTATATAGGTTCTTACTTCATAAAGACTCTTATATACCAAATAAAATAGCCATATGGCAGGTTTAATCTGCTAGGTGGGCTGGGGGCCAGTGCTTAGAACGAACTAACCAAATAAAAGTATCAACATAATTAGTAGAAACTGTTAACAAAATAAGTATTTATAAGTATTAAATCACTAAGAAAATTAAGGTGAACCACACGCTGTACCCGCACCCATTTGTCATTTTTAAATGAGTTATTTGTTAAGCTCAGATTATACTAAATATCAGACTCTGATTTTAAGTCTGATGAATTACCTAAAATAATTGTAAACTTAATAAAAATTAAAAAAGTGTTCGCACTGATTTAAACCGAGCTGGCTTGAGTAATCACAATTAAAGTACGTTTGGTTGTTATAAAAATGAGGGTATTTTTAAATTTGGAAGCAGTTTTTACCGTATAAATTTTAAAATATTAATATAATATAGCCCACTGCTGAAGCATAGTCCTTTTTATCTGCTGAGAAAATTTTGAATAGTGTAATAAAATATTATAAAGCTGATTTTTTATTTTTTACAAAGCAAAAACTTTAATGTGCTATTTTTTAACTCATTACTTTCTCTGAAAATAAAGGTTGGTTAGAGGAAATCAGAAATGAAAAGATTACATATTTGCCCTTAACTCAGAGACTACGATAACCCAGTTAAAGAAATTCATTATATTTATGCACGATATACGTGCATACGAGACAGATATTGACTGAATGTTTAGTATTAGGTTTTATCAGTTGTTGACAGGTCACTACAACCACCTTCTTTGTATTTTATCCCCCCAAAGGAGTTTAGTAAGGCTTAATATACAAAATTTCAATTTCATGTTGACAAATTTGACATACAGCTGAAGCAAGACAAATATTGTTTCTGGTTTACATGGAATATACATATTTGAAATTCGGCTTTAAACAAAAGTTGCATGTAAATACAGATCGGTTTCTAAAGAAAGTGCTGTTGAAATTTAAATTATTTATTTCATTACATGTAAGAAAATTTCTAATTTTTTTCAGTTGCGAAGAACCTTATAAAGGTGTTTATTGCAATATTACAAATGGAACGATGCACTGTAAGTCTTTCTCCTTTTTAACGTATTCCTATTCAATTTTAATAACCCTAATATGTTTTGGCAGTTTCGTGAACCATCTAATTTTAGAATCAACTAAAATGAATATACGGTGTTTAACACGAAATCAAAATGTAAATATAGCGCTATTTCTAAATCAACGGGGCATCAGATGATAAAGTAGCAATTTAACATTTTATGACATCAACCGAGTCGCTCCTTCAATGCAATATTCTTATCAGTTTGGTTATAGGATTGAACATTGCAATGACATTGTATAGACGTTACAGGTAACGCTCAAAGAAAATTGAATTTTCTCTTAATCGAGCAAGAGTTATCGATAATCGTCAAGCAAGAGTTTTCGATAATCGTCAAGCAAGAGTTATCGATAATTTACGAAATATGTAAAAATATCGAAGGGAAGTATATGAAAATTTAAGCTTAAAAAACCTGCAACCACCCTTAATGTAAAAATCTAAAGAAAAATATTACACTCTAAAATATCTCGAATTATAATTTGCAAATACTGAGTGAAAGTGGCGAGCTAATATTATTATATTCTAATACGGATTTTCAGTACAAAATCTAATCTGGAAAATAAATTTGCAAAAATAGCTCATGGCAAATTGCTTTCGGACATTAATGAAATCTGAATAACTCATTTACACTTGGATTTTCAGCGCAACTCTAAACGAGTTTTATTTCAAGGTAAAGGTGATTAGAAACATATTTCTGAAAATGATGAATTAGAAGAATAATTTATAGAAAATTTCGAGATAAAGTTGATTGGAAGCATATTTTTGAAAATCAGAAATTATCAGAAGGTTTTACTGAAAACTTCAAGATAAATTTGATTGGGAAGGTGCATCGGATATTATTAGAAAACCTTATTGAAAATATTTGTATAAAGTTGATTGGAAACACATTACTGAATATCGTGATTTTCTTGAACGTTAGAATAACGTTTATGAAATTTAATACTAAATATATGGAGGCATCATTAAGTGATATTAGAACTTTAAATTTTACAAATTATTAAAATGTTTACTCTCTTTGTAATGACTGGTAACAAAAATATATATGTTTTTCAAAAAGAATTATCAGAAAAATTTCATATCAGAATTGAATTAATTAAAAAGGAAGAAAATGAAGATATTAAATTCAAAGTGTTAGGAATTTTATATGGTATTCAAACGAATTTATATTATTGGTTGAATTATTTTTAAACTCTCATTTTGTGGAAGCTTTTAAAAATGTTTACTAGTAGATGGAAGAATTCAATAGTCTCCTATATTGTACGAAACCTCTAAGAGACTTAGAGCCTGGAAGATATAACTTGATTTTATTGAGAAAATTTCAAATTAAATATGGAGATTCATGTGTTGTAAAAATAAAACTAGATGACCAATAAAAAAGTACTTTCTTAAAAGGCGTCTCAGAAAGCTTTCTGGTAATGAAATCAAGTAATTCCATATTCAACTATAAAGTTATGATAGATGGAGATATACTTAAGAATTAGAAAAAGAGTCTTAAAGATGTATAATTTTTAACCCTGAGTCATTGAAAATTGTTTTAAAAACATATTTTTATGTAATTTATATTTTATTCCAAAAAGTTAAGAATTTTGTATATTTTTTCATACCTAAAATGTTTTTTTATTCCAAAAACTTAAGAATTTTCTTGTTTACTGTAATTTTTTAGAATCTCTCCTACCTAAAAGAATATGTAAAAAAATATATATTTTGTAACTAAGAATAAGAACTTTTCATTTGAAAGAGTCACCCAGGTTTTTGAAAAGGTTCGTCAGAAAGATTATTTTGACTCATTTGAAGGTCATCTATTACTTAACTGAACACATAAGCAAAAAATGCCGAATTTGTTTCTTTGTCACTTTCATTTGGGTTTCATAAAATAACTCTGAAAACTGAACCTCAGTCTTCAAAATTAGCCCTAAGATCAAAAACAAGGTAAAAGTCACTGCCTGCTTTTAGTTGAAAAAAACGCATTAGTTATGGGATGGCCCAATATAACATCGTTCTGTATTGTTAGAAATTTATGAATAGAAACATTTATTATTTCTTTGTCTGGAATCAAATTATGCGACAGCTATACTAATTTTTACTTTCACCACGGTATATTTAAACATTTAAAGCGCTTTTTAATTTCGGACCTTCGAGTCCATTATAATGCAAACTATAAATTTAGGACGAGCAAAGAATTTTGAAGTTTGCCATGTGTTTACCTGTGGATTGAACACGTGATTTTTGATATGCCCTATTTTCGCACCTCGAAAGCCAGTGATATTTTAAGTTATTACAGTTTATTTTGATTATATTTCACGCACGGTGAAACTACTACATTATTCATAATCGGAGACCCTTCAGCGGCCGAGCTGTAAAGTCGCTGGTAGTGCGCTGGTGAACGCTGGTAGTGCGGTGGTAGTGCGGTCCGAGGTTCGAATCCCGCGAGCGGGCTGGCTGCATGCGCGTTTTCGTGGGTTTTTCCATATGTAACGTGTATACGAGTCAGTTTCCCTTACAAAGTCCTCCACGAAGGCATCCCTCCTCTTAGGCAGATAGCCCTCGACGCTTTGCCATAATTATATACACACACACATAATCGGAACTCTAGGACGCACTGGAATGAGAGTTATTAGAACATATGCATAAAACTTCCGCGGACATATCTTTGCATTCAAATAGGCTTAATTAAACTATAAAGAAAGAATAAAAAAAAACTATGCCATGAAACCATTCTACTGGCGAGTGGCAAATCAGCTAATGTCACGTGTAATAGGTCTACTTGATATGTATATTTGTTGCACACAACTGTCTCAAGTTAAATAATGTCACACTGTATTATGATTCAGGATTGTGGGAGAGAGAGTGTAGTTCAAAAATTTATTCGCGAGCTCCTTGAAATTCTTGTGCAGTAAAACATAATATTTAAAATTTCTTTCTAAGTAATACATTTTAAATTAAACTTACCTCAGAATGTTACACCTCCACTAAGTCGAAACCTCTTGACATTAAGCATTTGGGTGGTTTCGCCTCAGGATGTCATAACATCAGGCTTACATCTTTATACAAATTTATTGAACTTTCTACCGAATTATAGTTATCTTTGGAATTCGTTTGGTGGTTCTCTATTCATTTAAGTGTCTGTCCATTTCTGACCATTTCTCAATAACAGGAATAGATAAAATTAGGGGGAAAAACTTAGGTTTTGACTTAGAAATTTAATACAATAAAACTTTCTTCCCTGATTAATTTTACTTTAGCAATATAAGCTTCTAAACAAATATTATGAGAAAATACTGTTTTGTGCTTAACGCTTTTCCGTTCTGCATTACTTTGTTAAACTTTGGCAAATATGTGTTCTTTCATAAATCTGTCTGCTTTGTGCTATCTTCTCTCGTCAACGATTTGTTACGTTTGCATAAAGATCACTCAATGCATAATTTTTCCTTTTCATAAGATAGATGCATTTGTTTCTAAATATGCTGTCAGAACTGTTGTTTTAAAATGTTTAACCTGCGGGAAGGCGCGTGGGGTGTGTCATACCCCACCCCTACATAAAAGTGGAATATTCCTAACTTGTAAAACTGAAATTCTGTGCTGCATTCAGTGGCTGAGTTTCTAGTTATGGTTGACTTTCAGAACAGCTTTTTCTTTGCCTGTGTGTTCAGAAACAATTTATCGTATTTTGTTGGAACTGGGGTATGACACGCGCCGTCCGCGTAAGTGTTTTTTCTGACCGAATATTTAGTTCAGAAATTTTTTCTGAAGTGTAACAGTAAATTTTCTACTCGCAAGTGATTTTAAAATACTTGACATTAATTTCTTGAAAATTTCTAACCACATTATCGTAAAAGAATGACTCCTTATGAATTGCAGATGCAACGCTGTGATATTTATTAGAAATATTTGAAAGCGATGAAGATTGCCTTTCGGAAACTGAAGATGAACTAGGAATATTTTCTACAGTGTTTTTCGTTTCGAAAAAGATAAACCTTAATTTCTAATATTCCTAAAAAGAAAACTGTTCTTATGCTTTCAACATTACATAACGACATACTATAGATGATACTATGGAGAAAATAAAACGTCAGGAATTATATGTTTTTAGAATGACTAAAGGACAGTGGATATGGGGTCACCAATTATTCAACTGCCAGAATAACAAGAGATGGCCAATGATAATTTTCTTTCCTGCACTGAATGTTCTGTAATAAATGCTTAATTATATTACATTCAAGTGCTAATTCCCAACCAGAAACAGAAGTCTGTTTTTGAAGAACTTAGCATACAATTAATGAAATTGTAATGCTAATGTATTGAACAAAGATCAGAGATTATACTTTACCAAGAACTGACGTACTGCATACAAAACAAAAGCAGAATTTTCGACGAAATTGAAACGAATACATGAAATTCGAAACACTAAGTATGAAAGATGTGATAATTGCCCTCGCGCCAAGGGCCAGAAGAACGTGAATGCAATGTTAAATGTGAAAACATTCTGTGCCAAGAACACATGAATGTATTAGTTCAAAGTGTGAAGAATAAAATAAGCATTGTTTATTAGAGATGCAATGAACTTAGAGGCATGATGTTTATTTTTTAAATTATTTTCATTATCTTAATTTTACTCTAAGATTATTTTGGAATTAATGTTTTGAAACCCAATTATATTCACGTATTTATAATACACGAGAACAAGAAAAACCGCTTAAAACTAAATAAAACTATTCTTATCGTATTTTAAATATTGGGGTATGGGATACCCCACGCGCCCACTCTAGTAACCTTTCTTGGTGCGACTTCCGCCGGGTTAAAGCGGACATTATCTATTAGCACTTTCTCTCAAAATCATTTAAGTTGCTTGAATATTTCATGTTATATCTATCCAATAGCCACTATTATTCCTTCCTGTTAAGCATTTTGTCAAATCTGTTTTATTTTACATATATGTATATAGATATATGCTAGAAATATTGGCATATGTTCGACTGCTGTTTGGTTGTCCATAACAATTTGCAAATTTCGGTTATTGGCTGCTTATGATTTCGTATTTATGATATATTTTAATTGTTATTCTCCGTGCAGAGGTATTCAGTGGTAACATTCTGTTGCACTTTTTGAAGTGTTTTAATGTGATAATTAAATTAATATTTAATGCTTACTGAACTTTGCGCTTGCCATCTAAACTTCTTTTAACAGCTGCGTATATTAATCAAATTCTATTTCGCCATCACAGCAGCAAACGGCATTTATACCACCATAGTAGCTGTGCTTGGAGCAGTAAATGCAGTCCTCTTTGTTGTTCTTTTTATTTGTGGATACCTCATGTTTCGAAAGTGAGTATGCATTCTCTATATTTTATAGAAGATACAATCTATTTCTTTATTACATATTTAACTGGTTGAAGATTGTCTAATTATTTGGAAAAATCGCCCAAAATTAAGATTTATTTATTATTGGGCTTTAGAAGTCTGTTGCAAGCTTAGAATTTTAATTAACTTCAAGTTTTAGTAATAATTTAATAATTCATTCACTTATGAAATTTCTAAAATATTTTAAAAGGAATTTATATCTCTAATAACAATTCGTTTAGCTTTTCAGAGCTTTTTACAGTTTTTACAAAGTGCTTACTAGTCTGTATTACTTTGACAAACACTGAATAATATAAAGTAATAATATCAGCAAAACCAAGAGGAAGTATAAATAAGCGTAAAATAAATAATTTTTCTATTCCACATACAACAGTATTTATTATTCATTTATGTGTCGAAGAAGTGCCAAACATTGAAAAATAATTTGGGTTTTTATAATGGTCATCTATTCTTGAAATATATGTCTCTTCGGAGGAAAATAAGACATCCTTCAGAAACAAGATTAATTTCTTTGAAACAAATTTAAGCCGATTATGTGTTCCGCAGTGTGACAAAAAAGAAAATCAGTTGTTATTAAGTGTTCTTCAAAATGTAAAAGTGTACTAAAAGTCAGGTTGATTTATCTGACAACATTATGCCAATAAATATGAAATCTCGCTGCATTGCTAACAGTTTTATTCATCATCGGACTCTTATATCATTCTTATCATACGAACTTCATACCGCTGAAATTTTAATTAATATAAGTATAGGAGTTGATTATTTGCTCCAGTGTTGCGCACTGCTTATGCTTTGCTCTGCGTAAGCTATAAAATTATTGCTTCAGAATCAGAAATACAAATACTTAAGCAGCACAGATATTTCTTCTGAATTACCTCAGAAAGGAAAAAATAAAGGACATTTAAAGTTTATTGATACCTTATGAAACATTGTTTTTCATTACAGAGCCCATCGATAAAGTTTCTCATGAGCTAAATATTTGTAAAGTACAAAGCAATTTTTTTTATAAAATATTTAAAATTCATTCTCGTAAATGTTGTCAGATATATTCCTGGTGAGTTCTGGAACTTTTGTGAAAATTATGTTTAAAACTGCTCTTTCAAGAAGATGGCATAAAAATGTAAATTTCACTGACTGTTTACGTTAATTCCAAATTTGAATACATTTCAGTTAGGACTTCGAGAAAAAATACAGAATGCTTGAGGAACTTGATAAAATTCTTCAAAGAATTATTAATTTCGTTTCGGATAATACGACACTGATCATTAACTTTGTCTCAGGTCTTTTGACTCAGGAAAATCTTAATTACTAACTTTTTTCTAACTTCATAGCGAAATTACATAGGAAGCTTCTCGTTTCAGGACGTTTTCTTGACAGGGATTATATAAAAGCTTAATTTTATGTTCATATATCCTTTAAATAATGTGTTTAAATAATACTTGTAATATTATGCATCTCATTTAAAAATATTTTCATTTTGTTTGAAATGAACGGCTAAAATCAATATTTATGAAGACAAGGTCTGTGGTTAACTTTTAGAGTACCTTGAGAATAAAGTTACCAACGATTTTATTTCAATGAAACGTGAAATGATGTTCTTTCCAGTTATCTGTCCTACTTTTAGTGTATTCTCAAATTTTTATTGAGCTTTCATAAATGATTGAATTTTAGATTTGCATATTAGTAAGAAATGGGAATACTTATGCATAACTTCGGAAGAAAAAATATGTAAATCGAGATTATACAATATAACATATGTAATTCAAGATTATCAGATAAAATAAATATAAATCAAATTTATATTTTAAACTAACAATAGTCTCTTCGTCCTATTCTAAAAATAGTACTGTCTTTTGGACTGCGTAATTTCTAGATCAATCCGTATCATGTGACTTGCGTAAAGCTCACGCCCTAGCTAATTCGGAAATTGAATAGAATTATTTGTTATCTGAAACTTTCTGTTATTAGCCTGCCATATTAGATAACTGAGCGCACTTTAGCTTTAGCTCTCTTGCCATTAAGAAATTACTTCCCACACTGTCTTTGCTACCTATTATTTTCTAAAAATATAATCTGGATAAAATTATGAGGGGACCACAATGATGATTACGATGACAATGTGCAATAATGACTAACCCACAATGACGATGTGCAATAAAAAAAGAGCATGTAACCTAAGAATTAATTATCAAGGAATAAAATTATATATTGAATTTATAGTTACGTCTGTCTTAGCGTGTCACCTTTCTAAATACGCAATAAAACCTCTCCAAGTTATTATAACACAAAGAACCATCGCTAATCTTTTGCAGCTTTCTCTAAGTCATCCAATTATATATACACACACACACAAACACACACACACATATATATATATATATCCTAAACAGTATTGATTAATTGATTATATTATTTCCTAAGTTTAATTAAAGTAGAATTATTTTAAAAGTGTGAATCCATACTGGTAAGTTATATTTTGAAAGATGTTTTGAAGTAATTTACAAGCAAAATGTTAATAATGTTTTAACGGGGACTAGAGTTAAAAAATCATCATGAAGAATAAAATTTCAATTGTAAAAGGAAAAATTAAAACATGTAATCATTGTCATTGATCGGAAATTAGTTGACTTTTCAAGGGGAACAAACCAACTCCCTTTCAATGAACAATAATTGATAAAAATACGTAAATACGAAAGTGTTTCGTCTTTACTCGAGTTATAAGTTAAAGCCAAACCGGCAATTCTAGTCAGGCCAAATATTTCCGCGAATAGAAGGAATTATGAACCAATGCTGATACTCAAAGAACTTATTCTTATGAAGCATTTTAGTCAATTCAATTTGGGAGTAAAAATCAATTACTGTAAGAAATCTTTACTCGAGTAACCTCCCCTATCCTATTTAACAACTCGAGTTAATATATTTCTCTACATTGATTTTTACTCCAAATTAAATTGACTAACTGCTTCATAAGAATAAGTTCTTTGAGTATCAGCATTGGTTCATAATTCCTTCTATTCGCGGAAATATTTGGCTGACAATTGCCGGTTTGGCTTTAACTTATAACTCGAGTAAAGACGAAACACTTTCGTAGTTACGTATTTTTATCAATTATTGTTCATTGAACGGGAGTTGGTTTGTTCCCCTTGAAAGTCAACGTAATTTCCGATCAATGACAATGATTACATGTTTTAGTTTTTCCTTTTACATTGAAATTTTCATCTTCATGATGATTTAACTCCAGTCCCCGTTAAAACATTATTAACATTTGCTTTCAAATTACTTCAAAACTCTTTCAAAATATAACTTACCGTATGGATTCACACTTTTAAATAATTCTACTTTAATTAACTTAGGAGATATAAATCATTAATCAATACTGTTTAGGAAATAAATTATTATTAACTAACTTGCAGCAATTGAGCAAGTAGTTAACTTGTATTCGCACTAAATGGATTTAAATCTACAACATATATAATATATATATATATATATATATGCTATGTACCAGCTTTGTCCGGAAATAGATTGGTGAAGAATCATAGATGTAGTCGTATCTTAAATTATCAGTAGATAATTTAAAAAACAGGATCCATTATTATTGGTCAGGAGAAATAGCAGTTTCAAAAATCATATTTCCGAATAAAAAAGAATTACTAATAAATTTTTGTATGAATTTTATTGCATCGTACATTAAGAAAAGACCCCGATATTTCCTTTGCGAGTCCTTTATAGCCTCTGGAAAGGCGGAGCTCAAAGAAATGACGTCAGCCTCATCACCTTCCGTTCGCTTTAAATATCTCCAAACATTCTATAACTATACGTGAAGAAAAAGGAGGGAAAAACACTCGACTACGGGCTGTGGATTTAATTCTACGTACTTTCAAATAAGAGACCGTCCCCATTAAAATGAAAAGAACATACAGTTAGAATTTAAGTGTATTTTTGACTATGGAATTTTATTATTACATATATATATATATCACATACAGTTATAGAAATTCGGAATATTTAAAGCGAACTGGATTGGCTGACGAGGCTGACGTCATTTCTTGGGCTCCGCCTTTCCAGAGGCATAAAAGGCTCGCAAAAGAATTCGGGGCTTTTCTTAAATGTCACGATGCAGTAACTTCATACAAATGTTTTTGAAGTTCTTTTTATTTACTCCGAATATCTGATTTTGTAACTGCTATTTCTCCTGAATAAAAAAAAATGGATCCTTTTTTTTAAACTTCGTTTGATAATTTAGCTACGACTACATCTATGATCGTCATCAATCTATTTTTTGGACATAAGCGGTACATATATATATATATATATTACATGTACATAAATATACAACAGATTACTAAATAATAAACAAATTTTAACATTAATATATATCAATTCAGAAGTATATCATAGAGGATTCGATAATATAAAGTTGTTAATCTGAGAGAGAGAAGACTTTACTTTTGCTTTCTTTTTTCTGCTGTTTTAACCACTGCAAATATTTTAGTTAGAGGCACATATTTTTGTATCTATTTAAATATTCCTTGGTTATTTTATAGTGACAATTTGCCAAGCACAATTTACAGACAATCTGAGGAATAACACATGAGGCTGAATTTTGGAGATTAAAAGTAAACAATTCGTTGTTTAAATTGTAAGAGTTTATGTAAATTTTCTAATACTAGTTATTTTTATTTTGGCCTTTCCTTTGCTTTCTCGTTTCTCGCCTTCGATTGCCTAACATACTGAGGTTTCATAATTTTGTTTTATGTAAAAGATGTAGAAACAAGTATTTATGTTGATGTCTCAGTCAGTTCTTTAGAACACCTTAGAAGAGCCTGTTGTGCCTTCCAAACGCGTTGGTGCGAAAGGTCTAATCTCACTACGATTCGCCCACACTGTTACGTACCTGCTAGTATTCGCCAGTGATCTTAAATAAGATCCAACAGTGTTAGTTATTTTTGTGCAGCTTCGGCTGTTTTTAGTTCAGTTAGTATTAGATTAGTTTTTATTTTCTATCTTAAGTTAAATCCCAAATGGTGGATAATTGTAAGCCTGAGAAGCATGTGTAATTGCATTGTAAGCATGTGTTCATCATTTTGAGTTGGATTAAAGGATAATTTTAACTCTTCTTTGGACTTGGTTTTGCGTACGAGGACTCTGCATGTTCTTAAGTATTCTAGATTTCAAGGATTGCTAAATTAAATATTGCAACATAACTTATAATAAACGAAACTAACTAATAATAAACGAAAATAATCGTCAAAATGTGATAAAATGGTATAGAAACTGATTCCTGAATTACGATAATAAAATTTAATTCAGATAGCTGAGGAGGAATGTTCCGTTTAGACTTCGAAAACAGAAACGTAAATTTACATGTTACGTCGATGCCCATTGCTTATTATTACTAGCTATACCATTTATGTATTTGTCATGTACTTTTACTGCGTTTAAATTCATATATTGTCACTGATAACAGTTTAAAAGAGCTCAGAATGTAGTTCGAGATGTAATAAATATTCGAATATGTATTTTAGCATTTGATCAACCTACACTCATTTATTATTCACATGAAAATTAATACAGATATATTATTCAAAATTACGCTTTCTGTTACAGAAAATCAAAATCTGAAGGGCATGATTATATACTACCTCCAGAAAGCGATATTCTTCCTGATACGGTAAATTCATATTTTATGAATTATTTGTTATTGATTATCTCTTTATTGTTTTTAACCTAGTATTTCACAGGCCAGCTAGAAATTTCAGCTCACTGTAATAGCAGGCAAGTTTAATTAGTTATGAAAAAGTTCGATAAAGATATTTCATAAAAGACAGCAGTGCCTTTCTTGATATATGTACACACAGACACGTATATATATATATGTAATGATTTCAAATGCGTAGATGAAAGCATTGGACCTCCCAACAGCTTACGATACTGCGTAGATGACCGAGAAGACCGTAGTGGTTTAAAGGTTGCAGAGTGGAAAGCATGATGACGCAATTTAGCACAACATATCTTGAAAAATCACAATCTTTATTTTTTCCATGCATATCAAATCGTCCTTTTTCAGACAAGATGCTTCCTAATTATATTTGAATACATAAATTGCAGTTTGAATTAGAACGTCATCTTAAGTAAGCAGCAGCATGGTTTAAAAGCGTCTTGCCAGCAGGAGAGCTATGAGGAAAAAAGGGCACAGTTATAGTACTTTCATAGGAAGAAGGCTGGGAGTGGGAAAGTTTCAGTTCACACTTTTGGTTTAGATTTAATTTGATTGGACAAGAGGTATCTGCATTAAAACGTTACGTAAGATAGAAAACTCTAGAACCTGTGAGAAGAGATGAATTTAGGGGTAGATCATCAAATTTAGAATGTTAATTTTGAGGTCGTCAATTATTTTTTTGAAACAGCTATCATATTTGTTATAGTCTTACATATCCCCGCCCTTCAAAAGAAAAGTTGGTGAGCAGGGTGGAAGAAAAGCATTAGAGCACAAAATGTGAAAGATATAATTTTGAAAATCAAACATATTAACTTTTAAACAAAAAATTATTGTCATAAAATTTTGACAATATATTTTGAATCAATTTTTGACATTTCATGAATGTCATAAATTTTGAATTCAATAATAATTTTAGACACTGTACTCTTTTAAAACAATTGCACATTTTTAGTGTTCTGAGATAAGAATGTCCATGAAATTTTGTAAAGTTCTTGAAAGTTCCACATGGTAAAAGTTCAAGATTTTTTCACAAACTAAATGTTCAAATAAAATTCTTTTCAAATTTTTGTTGATGAAAATATTTATTATATTACAAATTAAGATGCCAATTATCTATTATTTAATTATTTTTTTAAAGAAGGCATTTTAAAATATAAAATTTTGTAAAACATCATTCATAAACACAATTTCAAATTTTTCACTATTATAAGACATTTAAATTTACTTATTCTTTACAAAACTTGAAGACTCCGCAACTTTATCTAATACTAGCATTTCCATCATATTGGTTTATCAGTTGAGCAAACTGGTGTTTAATATTCTTCACCAGTGGCCAAAAGATTTGCCAAATTGCGTTACTGTGAAAAGCCCTCCGTTTCTTCTGTAGAGGCAACTGGCCTTCTTCGAACTGCTGTCATTCCATATAAATATTAATAACACACTCCATTTAAAGAAAAAATAAAAGTACTTAGATTAAAAAAATGTATTTTTTCATAAGGTGAGAGCCTTCAACGTTTATCATAAAAACATTAAAGAAATTCCTACAACTCAAAAACAATACCTTCATTCTTAACAGTAAAAATTTAAAAATATAAATTCAAAGAAATTTAAACAATAGTACAAAAATCTTATTCACATTAGGAACCTTCCCTAAGTAAAACATTCCTAATTTTTACCAAATTCAATAATTTCTTTTTCCCAATTCAGAAATAGAAAACTACATTTTAAATAAATCATAATATTTTTGAATTATTAGCATTGATCTTAATGATTAAAGCACTATTACCATCAATAAATCATAATACAATTAACTTATAAATGCAATTTTTTTTAAACGTAATGTATTCAATTTGGAAATTAATCTTCGCTGTCATATTTGATGACGTATGATAATATAGCATTCTTAGAATCTGAAGAATTTTCCGAATAAAGCATTGAATATGCAAGAGAGCACAAAATACTATTTAGCATTTCTTATTTCACTAATGATGTTGATGACCTTCAAAGCACTTTGGATGTTTAATTTTCTTTTTACGCGACGATTGGAGATGCACAGCATTACGAATATTCCAAGCAAGCCAGAATGAAAAACATATTTCACTATGTTGGCGTCGCTGACCTTGATTCGAAACAGTTTTGATTTTGAACTTGCAGATATTCTACGATTTCAAAGCACTTTTAGAATATGCCGTTAAATCACACACCGGAAACGAATTTGATGAATCACTGGAACTTTGAGGCAGCAGAGTTCGAAATCCATTCGGGAAACTTGCACGAGGTTAATCATGCCCTGACTTTATATATATGTGTATATATATATATTATTTTATATACATATTTCTTGATATATGTACACACACACACGTATATCATATATATATAATTTATTTACTAAAAATATTGATTAATTGATTATATTATCTCCTAAGTTTAATTATAGTAGGATTATCTTAAAAGAGTGAATCCATACTAGTAAGTTATATTTTGAAAGATGTTTTGATGTAACTTGAAAGTAAAATTTCAACTTTTCTGGCCCTAATATCTTCATGTACTTCACTTTTCTTATTATAATTTTTATTTCTATACTATTTTTTATTTGTTTTTGCAAAGTTTGCATTATTTATCTTATATTTTGTAATTTTCTATAGTTTATATCAACTACTTTGAATTCTATTTCATAATGACAATTTCCAATGTTTAATTTTTACAAATAATATTGAACTCAAATGCATAAACACGAGGGTGTCGGGGGACGGTTACTCGAGCTTTATAGAAATTTACTGCAGAAATTGCTTTTCACTCAAAATTGAATTGGCTAAAATACTTAATAGAAATAAGTTCTTTGAATATCAGCATTGGCTCAGAATCCTTTCTATTCACGGAAATACTTGGCTTGACTTGAATTGCCGGTTTGGCCTAACCTTTATTGCTCGAGTAAAGACGAAACACCTTCGTATTTATCTATTAATTATTGTTCATTGAACGGGAGTTGGTTTGTTCCCCTTGAAAAGTCAACTAATTTCCGATCAATGACAATGATTACATGCATTTACCTTAATTCTTGCCTTTAATTTATTCCTTTTACAATTGAAATTTTGTTATTCTGATTTAATTCCAGTCCCCGTTAAAACATTTTACATTTTACTTACGTTACATCAAAACATCTTTCAAAATAACTTACTAGTATGGATTCCTCTTTTAAGATAATCCTACTATAATTAAACTTAAAAGATAATATCATTAATCATATTTTTTAGTAAAATAAATTGTTATTAACTTACTAATGCAGCAATTGCGCAGTAGAGTAACTGTTTTCGCACTAAATGAATTAAGATCACAAAATTATATATATATATATATATATATATAATATAATAAGGGGGGCTTGTATCTTTGCTACGAAGGAAAATCACAAAAACAAAATCCACAACCACAAACCACGGTAAAATTTTAAGAATTGAACGTGCTGCTAGATTCAGTATTTATTTGACTGTTCACTCAATCTACTAATAATAATTTATATCCTAATGTATATAGATTATATATATTATATATATATATATATATATAATTCCCTTAATGTTATTAAAATGAAAAGGATATTTACATAGCTTAGTTAAGAGAGAAAAAAATATAACTTACTATTTAAAATATGGCAACTAATTGTGATTTTTTTTAAATTTTCAACAGCATCTAGACAGACGACAGCAGCTTAAGTGGGTAAATGACATCGAACTTCGACGCAGTGACTCAATGCATTTGCCAGAGAGAAAAGACAGTGTAGATTTGCAGCTGGATTTCGCAGGTTATGCTAATGCGATTCCAGGTGTTAAAATTTCCCAAAATGATAGTAAAGAAGAACAGCATATTCGTCGATCTCGCAGAAAAGGTCGTGTCATTACTGGCCTGGACAAGAACAGGTAAACGCAAGGAAAACGAACTGAGTCGTTTGGAACAACAACACATCTAGCGAAGAGGTTCGTGGCAAAGGACCTTGTCATCATTCTCCCAAATCTCCTTCCCATTATTTGAAAAAGACAGAAGCATCGCATTGGAAGCATTGTGAAAGAAAAGTATTTTAAGGTGAATAAGACTTTCCGAGTTAAGATATCAGAAAAATCATTGCATATTTTAGGAAGACAAATTTCTGAACAATGACTTGAAACTATTGAGACCATTTTCCAAATGAAACAAGCAGACTGTTGGAAGTGGGAACTATAATTTTGGTAGATATTAGGTCGTGATCATTAATTCATTTCGATAGAAATTTAAAATTTTTGCATCTCGTTATTTGAATGTGCATATATATATGTAAATTATACCAATTTTAGATATATTAAAATTTAATCATTTCCTGTCATGCATTTATTGAATATAATAATTAAATTCTTAACACTTTCGAAAAACACATTAAATACACGTATTTCTTATTTATCTCAAAGACATGAATTTTGCTTAGTTAAGTAACTCTGTCTCGCATTGTGTTGGTGAAAAAATGAACAGCAGTTTCCTATAGATGAAATCATTGTATAACATGACTTATTCTAAAACTGATTTTTTGATTTCTTTGTGTCACATCTTCCATATGATCTTTCTTTCAGCATATTTGAAAGCTGTTTTCGCTTTTTCAGCTTATTAAAGAACTTACTGATTTTTTCTGCTTTACCTAGCTTAAAGCATGGGTTCCCAAATTGTACTCTACGTAGCCTTAAGTATTTACTGAATATGTCTGCTTTACCTAGCTTAAAGCATGGTTTCCCAAATTGTACTCTATGTACTTAAGTACTCTGCCTGCACTAACGAGGGGTTCCACAGCCGTTCCAAGATAGCTAAAAAATTAAATAAAAATTCACAAATTTAAAAACTGTGAAAATGAAGAATCAAATTTAAAAAAATGGGAATGATATTCTCAAGAGGAATTTGCTAAGGTCAGTTTATCATCTCTAACAGTCAAGACGTCATCTCCTAGAACAAGCCGTTTGTGTTGTTTATAATATAAACAAAATATTCATAATATGAATTGTTGTTTATAATATGAATATGTACGTTTTAATCGCATAATCCTCTCAGCCTCCTCACCCCTTAGATAGAAGTGGTTATTATCTTCGCCTTTGTCTCTTGCGCGGGAAATTTTAGTCGAACCGTTTTTGCAGAGTGATGTTTGATCTGACTTACAGTCGTTTTATTTTGAGCAATTTGAGTATGTATCATAGATATGGAAATTACAGATATGTATGACTTATTATATATTTTGCATTTTGCGCATAGTAATGAAACGTCTGAGTCATGATGGTTAAAATATATACTAGTTTTAAAATATTCATCATAAATAGCAGAAGACGGGTGACTGAGGACGAGGGCACCTATTGGCTAGCTAAGCAGGTATATGTCGCACGTCCTCCTCTAGCTTTTAAGCAACAACTCTCTGGGGACCATGTCGGCAATTTAAGGAGTAGAATTGTTTGTTTACAGTACAAAACAAAGGCGTCTGTGGCTGAATGCTTTTACAGGTTTTGCAAGCTTTTGGAGTATAAAGTTGTAAATTTTCCATGTGATTGTGTTAACAAGATGGGTTGATATTTACGCATAAACGTACATATTAAACACATACACATTGATAACATGCACAAAAGCATATATCTATAAGGCATACAAATATATACTACATATATAACAAATACTAAAGTCCCGCATAAACTAAGACATCAACAAACACACAAACAACATGTAATATATCAAATTGTATATACGTGGGTTAAATACTTGTAGTTTCTTTTTTTAAAGATAAGAACAACTAACGGGTCAACGTTCGTTGAATGCGGAGATTTCTAGTAGGTGTAGGAATTTTATATACAATACTATGTGCGTAAATTGAATGTTCTGATTATAGTTAATTTTAACAGAAAATGTGTCTAGGGCAGAAAGCACAATATACGCATTAACAATGTGTGAGCAAAAACAGAATATGTGATACAAGGCTATCTCAACTGGAAAATTTTCATTTTTGGACATACATCAAGACCCTAAGGGGAATCTGGAATCACTTAGGAATCTGGAAAGAGCAGGAGTAGTGCATCTCCCGCTGCATGTCAGAATAACCAACAAAGTGTCAAAGTATCAAAAATATGTGCCTTGATTTAATAGAATATATAAATACAATGAAAAGAGCACAAGTGGGATATTTGGGTATAAAAAAGTCTGATGTGTACACCACATGACTTCCTTGTACGGAGTATTAAATTATACGCATTTTTAATTGCATTTCGTTTAAACTTATTGGATTGAATTAAATCTACTTCGCCGACAGCGCATAAACCACAATAGAATAAATGCATTCTTTAAAATTCACTCTATTTGTTTACCATAGCGACACTCTGGCGCCAGGTTCACTTAACAGTATTATATTTCGTTCATATTATAACTCAGAATGCACAAAATTTATATCATTTAAAGAATTATCGAATCGTTGCCACATGTTCTATTCAAATACTATTATAATCTAGAACGATGTATAAAAGAAATTAAACAAACAAACAAAAAAAAAGAAAACAGTTTTTTCACAGACGATTGAGTATTTCATATTCAATTAATTCAGTTCTCACTTCACGACAAGGCAAAAATACATAAAAACTCAAAATATTTGTATTAAAAATTACGAAGTAAATCTTAAACACTTATTTCGTCGAAAAAATTCCAGAAATCATTAAGCATGATTTAATTCGCAATAATAAATGAAGGCGTTATCTCTGTTGTTGCGAAGCTACGTTTCTCTAGATTGGCAACAAATCCACTACTCTGCTGTTTCAAATGTAAACAAGCAATGGCAGCCATCAAAAAATTTATTAGGCTCAGAGCCACTTAAACAACTTTAACATTGTTGATAATTCTAAAAATATTGTATACAGATTTACTAGAGGCACAAAAACCTTAACCGGAAGATAAGAACAACATAATTCAATCATTTTTAAAGCAAAAAATTTACAATTTACAAACATATAAGAGTAAAGAAACTGAGATCACTGAGCCGGGTAACAGAGTGGATATATATATAAATATTTTTATATACTTTTGGTGCGGCCGATTGCAACCAAAATACGAGGAAATGCACATCTAACATATTATAGCAGTGCCTATATACAAAATTTGCAACGTTCTGAGGCTATTCGTTTTTTTGAGTTATGCTGAGATACGTACATACGTACATACCTATGTACGTACGTACAGACGCCACGAAAAATTCTCTTCAGAATTCGATTTTAAAGCAGTTTTATCATTTTTTTGGAGCAAAAGAGATCCTTTTATTCTGTCCTTATGTACAGATGTCATGCAAAATACATCCGTTAAATTGCATTCGAATAGCCATCAAAATGGATATTTTCGTTGAAATATGGCTACCCGGAAATTTTTCGCGATTGCAATACTTCCTTTTTACTTCGTACAAGGAAGTAAGTAGAAAGGCTCGTCGAAAGGTGTAATTGACTAGTAAAGATAACAATGGTATGGAATGCTATGTTGCAAATGTTAAAAATGCATATGGGACAAGTAATGGAATGCTATAAATGAGATAGCAACTAGAATGTCCGGCCTTAGGCAGGAATTTGCGAATTAGTTCTGTTTCCGCGATTCTCTTTCCGCGTTTTTCAAAATTCTTCCTGTTCCCGCGAAATCGGACAGTACAATCCCTCTCCCATAGCTCCTCAGGAGATGTCACGATGAGTCGTTAAGAAGAGCTGGGCAGTTCCTTTGTGAATAAGTTAGTCTTCGTTAGATTAAAGACATGTCTTAGTTTAGGCTCCTCACAAACTCTTTAGTTTCATTCTATTTGTAATTCTGCTGCAATATTAGCTGTTTCTTTCAAATCTTATGTTAACCAATATGGATATTTTAGAAATTATTGAAACTAAAAGGGAAAAAAAAGTTTAGTCCTATATAAAGGTTATCAAGTCGCGAATTCGGAATAGAAATAAGGAAAATGTATTTTATTGGATTTGCATAAATCAAAGAATTAAAAGCTGCAAATGCGCAATTAAGACCAAAGCAGAAGTTGTTTTAGAAGAAAGAACGTCATTTTAAAGAAAGTTTTAGAACAATTATTTATTCTGAAAGATTTAATTATAATTCACGTTTATACAGAATTTCGGAAGAATATTATTTTTTACTTTCGGAAAGGATCTTTTAGTTCATTGCCAAACTCATCGCACGGTTTGAAACTCTCTCCGTCTTTGCTTTTAAACACAGTATTAGCTTCATTCATACAAATGTTTGAGATCGTAAATAATTTTAAATTATTTCTTTTCAAAATACTTTTTTTTAATCTGAAAATTTTGTGTTTTCCTACATTTCGGGAGAGGCTAGTGTCCCTCCACTATGTAACCCCTTTGGGAAGGGAGTAATGGAGATTGAGGATTTCGCGAAGACAGGAACGCTTTTGATATCCGCGGAAACAAGAAGACACCGGAATTTGCACATGATAGTTTTGTGTGCACCCGGCTTTCACACAATGAAGCATAGAGATAATTTTACTTTTCTGCTCAGATCAGGCACATATGCTTGCACAGTGATAATATATATTTATCTCATATAAACAACTCTTTAGTTTTTTCATTAGATTTCTGAAATTTTTATTATTCTTCAGGTGTAATTGGCCATAAGTAAAAACTGGTTTTTCGAAATTTATTTCAACAAAATCAAATGTTTGCTCTTTCATTTATTTTTTTAATTTAAAATTCTATTTTATTGGTAGTTGAATAATATATAATTTAATTCTTTTTTGATCAAGAAAATTCATAATTGATCAAAGAAATTTTTGATCAAAGAAAATTCATAAACAAATATCTTTAAAATAAGTATTTTGAATCCGATACTAATTTAATTTTCTTCTATGTTTTCTCTACAATATTAAAAACCTAAATTCATTCTGATCAGTAGTTATATCCACGTTATATTTCGGTATTGGTAAACAGTGGTCGTAATATTCAAATAATGGAGTATCCTATAATACTTCACAAGATTCATTTGCATTAAAAAAATGCCATAGTTAGATTATCGCTCCATCTCGGCATTTCGACATGACGAAAAGATTGGGCACGACATCTCTGCGAACACTGAGTTACTACCCGAATAGATTTTCAACTGGTTAGAAGCCGAAACGAAATCGCTGACTCATCTCCTCTATGTTTCGTTTCGGATGAAGTGAGCGTTTACATTGTCAAAGATGTCGCAGCAAGAGGCTCGCTGTGGGTCACTCGGAGAGGTGTAAACTGATCTTTAGCCAAGACGAATGGAAAAACATTCTTGAATTAGAAAGGGGGAATTCAATGATTCTTCAAGACCCAATTCTTACAAACAAAAATTTCTG